CCTTAAAAAAGGAAATTTTTGTTGAGGATTTTTTTTTTTTTTTTTTGAAAATCTTCTCATTTTTTGTATCCTGGCATATTTTTGAAAAATTCTTTCATATTTGTATCGTAGATAAAATTTCTGATAAAATAAAGCTAAAAAAATTAAATTTCCCTTAAGAAAAAAATTCCCTAGAAAGGGAAATTTTGCTGAAGGATATTTTTTTGAAAATCTTCTTATTTTTAGTTTTTGGACAAATTTCTTAGTGAAATATAATTCCCCAAAGGCCAAGGTAGGAATATTTAAGCTTTTCCCTTCTCAAATCTATTTTTTGTTTTTAATTTCTACAAAAAAAACACATTTTTCTCTGTAGCAAAAATCCTCCCCTTACTGTATTTGACATTTGACAATAACAAAACAATGTTTAAAGGTTAAATTAAAAATGGAAAACATGAATTACCTTTTAGTTATTTTAATTATTTAAATGTTGCATATTTTTAACAGATGTCGATATCCACTTGTTCTTTCGTTTTTTGTTTTTTTTTTTCAAATGCATAAATTTATTTTTTGCATAATTTTATTATTTTTTTTTAACAAATCAAACACACCCTCAAATTATATGTTACATGCACAATATGTATACATATATAATAACAATTTAAAAGGAAATTAGAAAAAAAAACAAAAAAAATGTTGTCGTTGGTGTTTTGTTTTTGGTTTTCTTCTTTGTCACAAAAAATTTACATTTATTTATAAACAATACATCAACCATTTATACATGGGTATAATTATATTACACACAAAAACACATATTTTGCTTTTAGAAATTTTCGTTCAAAACACACACTTTTTTCAAAAACATATCCAAAAAAATCACAATTTGGCATCATAGGAAATTTTGGCACTTGGAAAAAAAATTATTTTAAAAATTTTTCAAAAAAAAATCCTCTTTTATGATTTTTTCTATTTTTTAATGGGTATATTTTATTTTACGGCTTAATATTTGTTGTTATACTTTTAAATAATTATATATATATTTTTTAATTTTGCAACAATTTTTGCTGTTGCTGTTGTTTTGTATTTTTTTGGCACCAAATCAAACTAAACCGTCCGAAATTTTTGCTCGCTTAACGTCCTCTGTCGTCGGCTAATAGCCCACTGAAAAGCATCCACACAATCTTCTGCTAACTAACAGTTAGTAAGCCTTATGAATATTATTCAAATTATCATAAAAGCTTGATTGTGCTCTTTCTCTCTCTCTCTTCTTCTCGCATCAAGGTGATCAGAATTCAAGAGAAATATGTCAACAAACAATGACTCTCTTTGGAGGCATGGGAATACAGCCAAAGAAAAAAGTAATTCAATTAAAAATATTAATCAAGGAAATTCGGAGATATAATTGCAAATTTTTCAAAAAAATATATTCAAAAAAATATTAAAACACAGGAAAAACCGAGAACGTCGTAAAAAAATAAAAAAATATATATATACAGGGTGATATAAAAAAACTGCAACAAAATCAAACGCCATAATTTTTACATTTTTTTTTCTAAATTTTATTGAATGAAAGCAAAAAAAATTTGGAAATAGTAAAAAAATTAAAATAATTTTAGATTTGTTCGAATTGGCCGCCTTCGGCTCGAATTATGGCCTTCAAATGGTCGATGAAACCGCTGCCACACACGCTGCCCGAATGTTGCTCTGCAGTATTTTGGCCCAATCCTGGCGAAGAGCTTGCTTGCTAAAAGTCTTCTTTATAAAATTATGGCATTTTATTAAAATACATATATTATTTTGAAAGTTATAAGCTCTGAAACAGACATGCTCACATTTTAAAAGAAAGAGAAAAAATTAGGAGCGTTCCTTCATTTGCCCATATTTCTGTTATTTCATTAGATATATTTCTCGAATTTACATTTATTTTAAGATCTGATATTGAGCTTTCAAATCTAAAAAAATTTTCCAGAAAGACCGATTACTTGAGGAGTTATTGCATTTCGAAAGTGGTTACTTAAAAACAAACGAAAAAATGAAATTTTTAGTACTGCTAACAATTGACCGATAACTCTAGAATTTTAATTATTATATCGACAATATTTCATATGAAATTAAAGATCGGAAATTATTCCATCAGAATTATCTTATATTATTGAAATTCATAAGATATATCCCAATTTATAGTCTAGAGAACAAGCTTGCTTAAATTTTGGGAGTAAGAAATACATTTGGGTACTTTGGTTCATTTGTCTATAGGTCTGGTATTTGATCAGCTATATTTTTAAATTCATGTCGATTTAAAGTCCACATATTGAGCTTTCGAAATGTGGAACATTATCTTAAGATATACCGATTACTTCACGAGTTATTGCATTTACAATGTGGTTACTTAATAAAAGAAAGAAAAATGCAATTTTTCGTAATGCTTTAAATTGGTCGATAACTCGCGAATTTTGTTAACTATACCCACAATTTTTATATAAAATTTAAGATATGAAGCTCTGTTATTAATATAATATAAATTTATTAAATATCGTGAGATATTTTGGAAGTTATAGCCTCGACAACAAGCTTGCTCAAATTTTGCAAGCAAGAAAAAAATTTGGGGACATTTTTTCAATCTCCGATATCTGTGGTATTTGGTCTGATACAGTTTCCAAAATTTACATCAACTTGAAGCCCAGATATACAGCTTTCAAAACTTAGAGAATAATTATACGAAATACGAATTAATTCAAAAATTATAGCCTTCGGAAAGTGGTTACTTAAAAATAATGAAAACTAAAAATTTACAATACCGAAAACTATTGGCAGATATCTCTGGAATTTTGTGAGCTACATAAATTATATTCTTTTCGGATATAAACACCAGATGTTATTCTTTATAAATTATGCTATTGCATTGAAATATATCTACTATTTCCAGAATTATAGCCTCTGGAACAAGCTTGCTCAAATTTTGAGAGTTAGAGAAAAATACGGGAAAATTTATTCAATCCCACATATCTCTGGTATTTGGTGAGCTACAGTTTCTAAATTTACGTCAATTTGAAGCCGAGATATACAGCTTTCACAACATGGAGGATGTTTTAGCAAATACCGACTAATCCAGAAATTATTGTCTTCTGAAATCGGTTACTTAGAAAATAATGCAAATTAAAAATTTACAATGCCGTATAAAATTGGCAGATATCTCTAGCATTTTGTGAGCAATATAAACCATATTCTTTTCGGATATAAACATCAGATGTTATTCTTTATATATTGTGCTATTTTATTGAAATACATCCACTATTTCCAATATTATAGCCTCTGAAACTAGCTTGCTCAAATTTTGGGAGTTAGAGAAAAATACGGGAAAATTTATTCAATCCCACATATCTCTGGTATTTGGATAGCTATATTTTCGGAATCTACATCTATGTAAAGACCAGATGCTCAGCTTTCAAAACCTCAGCAACTATTCTAAAATATACCGATTCCTTTAGAAGTTATTGCCTTTAGAGTGTGGTTACTTAACCAAACAGTGAGAATCACAATTTCTCATTCTGGTTATAATTGGCCAATATCTCTATTATTTTCTTAGCCATATTAACATATTCTATACTTAATTAAATGCCAGCAATTTGTCTTTCAAAGTTATGACAACTTCTAGAAATACATTTATTATATCCAAAGTTATGGTCTCGAGAGCTAGCTTGCTAGAATTTTGAAAGCTGGAGAAGCATTTGAGAACATTTACATATTTTGCTATATCTCTAGTATTTGATCAGCTATATTTTCTCTGTCTACTTTCATTTAAAGACCATATACTAAGCTTTCAAAATCTCGACAATTATACTAAAATATACCGATTACTTTAGAAGTTATTGCCTTCAGAGTGTGGTTACTTAACCAAAAAGTAAAAACTACAATTTCTCCTTTTGGTTATAATTGACCAATATCTCTATTATTTTCTTAGCCATATTGACATATTCTATACTTAATTAAATGCCAGCAATTGGTCTTTCAAAATTATGCTATTTTATAGAAATACATTTATTATAACCAATGTTATGGACTCAAGAACTTGAATTGCTAGAATTTTCAAAGCTGAAGAGACATTTGAGAACATTTATATATTTTGCCATATCTCTGGCATTTAGTCAGCTACAATTTCTGAATTTACATCAATTTAAAGACCAGCTACTCAGTTTCACAATTTGTGGGAAAGTTTTGAGAAATACCGATTATTTTACAATTCATGGCTTTGGAAAGTGGTTACTCAAAAAATAATAAAAATTAAAAATTTGTGTTAGTGAGTTTATCTAGCCGATATCTATGGTATTTGCCTGTTAATAGTTTCCTATTTCATTTCAATTTAAAGAACGGATGTCTGGCTTTAAAAAAACATGATCTTTTATTGAGGAAAATCAATTAATTCCAAAGTTCTGGCCTCTGGGTAGTGATTACCGGATTTAACCCAAAAATTGCAAATTTACAAAACTTGCAGTTATTTGTCGATATCTCTGTTAACGGGTCTTTAATAGTTTCCTATTTAATTTCAATTTAAAGAACGGATGTCCTGCTTTCAAAAAACATGATCTTTTATTGAAGAAAATCCATTAATTCCAAAGTTGAAGCCCCTGGGAAGTGATTACCAGATTTAAACCAAAAATTTGCAAATTTATGAAACTTGCAGTTATTTGTGGATATCTCTGATACCGGGTCTTGAACCCGGACTTTCGGGCCAAAAATCTGGGGTTCCTGGGTCGACCCCCCTCCCCCCTCATATATAGTTTCCCGGAATCAGGGTAAAAATACCTACCACCGTTAAAAGAATTGAAGAGTTGTTACTAAACCAAAGTTATGCCAAGTAATCTTCCTATCCTTCCGACATTTAATTACTTCGGAACTCAGGAAATATAGGATCCTTTATCTATCACCTCAGTTTTAGCTTTTCGAAGTCTCTCAAATGATGATAGTTAATCTCCCCTTTGCGATAATTTCCAAAATGTAGCCCTTCAATTAAAAAGTAACCAATATTTGTGGTATTAACTAATATGGTCTTTATTCAATATTTTATATTATATTATTTAATATCTTGTAACAATATTCAATCTATTCGCCATTTTAATTCGTGACTACGTTCTTCTGTTCTTTTGTCTTACATAGATTGAAAAAATAGAAAGAATGAATGAGAGTTTTGTTGTTTTTACATCGTTTATCGTTTCCTCCTTTTTTATGGTTCTACAAATTTGAGATAAAGTTTTCTTGTCGTTTTTTAGAAAAACAAATTAAAAATATAAAAATTAAAGCCAGTTTGTTTTAAGGCTATGGTATAGCCTTCTTTGCATAGCCCAACCAGAGATAAGTGACTACCTTGCCTTGACAGAATTCAAAAAATGAAGAAAATGAGTTTAACATGATTGGAGAGGGAGAGAGAGTCAAATTTCGGTTTCTCTCCTACAAGGCAGCAACTGAAGATGTAACAGGGATCAAGGATATCTTATTAATGATTGACACCCTTATTCTGTTGGACATGCTTAATATTGTACTCAACACAGTTGCGAATTTTGGGTTCCAAACATTGCGAATAGACATCAGTCCAGAGACCGCTGAGTGGCAATTCAGCATCGGCCTTGGCCTGGGCTGTGGCAGCATCAACTTCCTTGCGCACCTTGGTATCGATGGCCTTAATCTCATCGGCAGTGAGGAGACCCAATTCAATGCACAGCTCTTTGAATGAGGTAATGGGATCGCGTTTTTGACGCACCTCTTGAATTTCTTCACGGGTACGATAACTGGTACCGGGATCAGACATTGAGTGGCCGGAATAACGATAGGTATTGGTTTCCAAGACAATGGGGCCGTTCTTATTCACATAATCAATGGCAAATTCTGTGGCACTGCGCACAGCCAAGACATCCATACCATCAACCCAAATGCCGGGCAACACATCACCACGGGTATAGTAGTCGGTGTTGCAGGAGGCACGTTCAGCACTGGTACCCATACCGTAGTTGTTGTTTTCGCATACGAAAATGACGGGCAGTTTCCACAAATAGGCCATGTTGTAGGCTTCAAAGACCTGGCCTTGATTGGCAGCACCATCACCATACAAAGCCAAGCACATGCCACCGTTACCCTTGTATTTACAGGCAAATGCAACACCAGCTCCGAGGGGAACCTAAATCGTAAATGTTATCAAATTAAAGAAGCTATTTAAAATTATGCGGATTTCTCTTACCTGGGCACCCACAATACCATTGCCACCATAGAAATTTGGTGAATACATGTGCATGGAGCCACCCTTGCCCTTGGCACAGCCACTTTGACGACCAGTTAATTCAGCCAAAACACCCAATGGTGGTACACCCATCAAATAGGTCCAGCCATGGACACGATAGGCTGAAATAATGTTGTCGACATCACGCATGGCAGCCTTCATGCCTGTGGAGAGATAGAAAAAGAAAACAAATCAATTCATTTAGGCCTCATAAAAAAGAAAGACTACCACTTACCAACAGCACAAGCTTCCTGGCCGGAATACAAATGACAGAAACCGCGGATAATCTTTTCCTTGTACAAATTACCAGCCGATGTTTCCAAACGGCGAATGGTTTGCATTTGTGTGTAGTATTTGAGAGCATCTTCTTTGGTGAGTTTTACATTGGTTTCGGGTCCCTGGTCCAGGCGATGTAATTTGAAGGGCTGAGAGAAAGGGGTAGAAATTATGGATTATTAAATTAAAATAAGATATATTTTGTGGGCTTAATATATGAGACCGAATAGAAATGGGGTGTGATAACCCTTCCCAAACCCAGAATCGAAAGAGTGTGTGATAACCCTTCCCAAACCCAGGATCGAAGGAGTTATCCCTTTTGGAATACAAAAGTGCCTTTATATTCTGGATATGAATTTCATAATAGTATCGGAGCTTTGGGAAAATTTTTGAAGATATCAAACTTATCCCAATCCCCGGGAATAATACAGAGATCGAGGAAATAAAGCACTTTAGCTTCCGAACGAACTGAAGTAGGTTGATAAAATTCAAATAAATTTTACTCCAATGTATATTATGTCTGCAGGACTTTTGGTATTGAAAATGGGCCATGTAGGTCCACGTTTTGGTATAGCCCCCATATAACGGCACCTCCCGATATTCGGTATTTTGATGATTTTAGCGACATTATTCGCCGGAATTGTATCAAATTTGGTATTTGAAGTTCGTAATGGGTACTACAGCCTATGACAATAGATTGTCTGTGCAGGCCCACGTTTTAGTATAGCTCCCATATAACGGTACCTCCCGATATTCGGTATTTTGATTATTTAAGCGACATTATTCCAAGAGAATTGTATCAAATTTGGTATTTGAAGTTCGTAATGGATACTACAGCCTTTGACAGAAAATTGTTTGTGCAGGACCATGTCTTCGTATAGGCGCCATATAACGGGACCTCCCGATATTCCGTATTTTGATGATTTTAGCGACATTATTCAAGGGAATTGTTTCAAATTTTATATATAAAATTCGGTATCGCTACTACAGCCTATGACAAAAAAGGACTTATGCAGGCCCACGTCTATGTATATCTTCCATATAAAGGTTTTCATTTGAGCAGTATTTTTCGTCGTTTTTTTTTTTGAAAATTTTGATGTGCCCTCCGAATTATGGAGGGTATAAAAAGTTCGGTCCGGTCAAACTAAGCTGCTTTTTTATTTTATTTATTTTTTTTAATTTTCATAATTTCCGCATTTGGTTCCCCTTCAAATCAAAGTCGGCTGGATTTAACTACTAAAATATAAAGCTGTTTAAATTTTATGATACATTTGAGATAGCAGCACAGAATATTACGCTACCCCACACAAACAATAGATAACAGGCAATTAATGGACATTTCTAAAGATTCCCAACAAATTTTTGATTGGAAATATGGCTTCATTGCAAAACGCATTTACAAAAAGAGAACGTATGATCGATGACGTCTATAACTGTAAAAAAACAACAACAACAAATATGTTAATAAACATAAACAATAAGCGGTCATAAGGGGGTTAGCTGCTGGTGGTCTACACAGCAATTAGAGCAATGACCTTGAACTAGCCAATCAAACAATAGCAATTTTTAAGAAATCGCATTTTGCACAACCTACTCCCAAACGGCACACATTAACACCCACAATTTCCATTCACCTCTAACATTCTAAACAAATTAGACAAGGAGAAAATTTTGTTTTAGAAATCGTTTGTTATGTAACGTTCGTTTTTTTTCGCAAACCACTTACTTACCCGTTGCACTTGGACGGTAGCCTCGGTAGCATAATTATTGGATTTTTGTGTTCCGGTTACGGCGGCTGAACTCTGGAATAAACCGAAAAATGAGCTTGAATTAAAGCGTCCTCTTGGCTGGCTAATACTACAAGACAACAAATGATGGGCGCTCGCCGCTTTTGGCCAACCAGCAACCCTTGACGAAGATGACACACAAACATGCAATTGTCTAAGATTATGCGACGAAATTTGCCTATTTAGCGGTCTGCAGCAGCATGGATAACCTACTTTTTGCAATTGTTGGAGTACTTTTGGTGCTCCACCGGTGGCTCGTGTTATTTGACGCAACATATTTTCGCTGTATTCGATTAATTTCACGAGTTTAGGCGTTTTGGAAAGAGTTTTCGTGGGAAACTCGCGAGAGGAAAATATGTAAATTTTTCGCGGATGAAAGAAAGTCGCGTAACACAATGACAGCCCGAATCCAAGGGATATGTAAGTCGACTTTCGATTAATCGGAAAAGATTGTCAATCAGAAATTAGGGATATGTAAGTCGACTTTCGATTAGGCCATTAATCGATTTTTTTCCCTATGAATGGACATTAAATTAATAAAAGGTAAAAGGAAAATATATGGTTATTTCTGATGCTTTTGTTGGTAGTTGTCTGCCTTTATTGGGGATTAAAGAATAGCATATTGCTGTCATACTTCAATTGAGTTTTTGTCATACCATTATCCGTTTATTCAATAATTTAAAATCAATATGAATTGTGTCCTACCTTTATATTATTATCTGGCATTTACACAAGACAAATTGTCTTGAATCAGAATTGTATTTTACTACCACCTACAAACCTTTTTTTCCAATTAATGCTAGGAACACAATTGGAGCGAACGACGAATTTCGCCCTACGCGGCGACAAAATGAGCCGCGAAAATTCGTCGTATGGAACACAATACCGACGAAATTATAAAACAGCTGATGAAGTTGTTTACTTTTTGCTCATTTGTTGACTACAATGAATTATACAAGAACACATAATTCTTTACGTTCTCTATTATAATTTCACTTATGTCCATCTTCTCTATTATAAATTCACTGATATCCATCTTCACTCAGGCGCAAGTACACAAATAAATAAACAAATTAATTATGTTTTTTTTATACGAGTAACAGATAGTAGAGTGACCATAACAAATTTTAAAGTAAAAAGTAACTTTATTTACTAAAACACATAAAATTCGTACAAGTATGGCCACCTTGTACTGTTTTGTTCGCCGGTCGCCGGCGTATGAAATAGAAATAAAGCTAATTGAGTTCGCGGCGACCGACGAAATTTTCGCCGGTGCCGTGATTGTGTGCACTTCCATATACACATATGTGTTTTATTTTTGACGACGAACATACGCCGCGAAAAAATTCGTCGTTCGCTCCAATTGTGTCCTTGCATAAGACAGTAAATACTAGAAAATGGTAGATATTACCATGGCATAACTACAGAATGTAGAACAAAGTTACCCCCTAAATACAGTATTTTCATTTGTTGCCCTTATTCTGTCATAAAATAATTTGGTTTCAAAATAAAAAAGAAACTCCAGCTCAGAGTTGCATTTTTCTAGTTTCTTTAAAGTTAAGCTACCTTTCTTATTGAGCCATGGACATTACCATGGTAGTATTAAGAAGGTAAAGTCATGCAATCATATGTATACGTTTTTTTTTAAATTATTCATTTTTACAACATCTTATTGTCAAAATTTATATCTATAAATTAATGGAGTACACAGAAATCAGAGATGGGAACCTGTTTTTTATTCGGTGAAATTTGACAAGGTAAATTCACTCGACAAGAAAATGGTTTTATCTCCTTATTTTATCAAGGACGTAATGGAAGAATGTAATATTTATAAAAACAAAAGAAAATAATAAACAAACGAATAAGAATTCTAAAAATAAACAAAAGTATAGACTATTCATTGAGGATATTTAAGATTAATAAATTAACTTGTTGGTCCTGTATTTTGTTAGCCAGACCCATTGCACAATTAAATCAAGGAAACCCATTTTAAATTATTATATCCAGCTCTGAATTTTTTATAATTTATCAAATTTAACAGGCTGATTTGTGATCTCTTGTACAACCGAGACACAACTTCGTACAGCCCAATTACAAATGATACAATTTTGAATAAAACATTTTCTAGTTGTAACGTATATGGCTTGCATAAGAATTGTGTTATTAATTCATTTAGAACGCTTTGTTTTAGTTACCGGCAAGAAGAAGCACTTGCACTTGGATATCAATTCATATAGCATACTGATTTCTTACTAGAAAGAAGAAGCATTTGTTGTTATTAAGGGCGCACGCTAGTTTAATTTATTTTTCGCAATTTGTTAATGAATATCGTACATTTTACAGAAATTTAACATAAAATCAACACAAAATGCCTAAAGAACAGTTCCGCGAGGCGGATTTGATAAAGAAAATGTAAGTTTCTCAATTTACACGGTTTTCTTCTACTCATTTCTGTGCTTGAATTTTTAGATCACATGTTCAGTTTTGCATCAGCAGCCCCGAGGAGATTCAACAGGAATCTCACCTACGGATAGTTTCTAAAAACCTCTATCAGGCACAACGCCAACCCGTTCCATATGGCGTTTTGGATCGTCGCATGGGCGTGAGCAGTAAAGATGCCACCTGTGAGACCTGCGGCCAAGGTCTTAATGAGTGTATTGGGCATTTTGGTTATCTGGATTTGGCTTTGCCGGTCTTTCATATTGGCCACTTTCGCTCGACCATTAATATTTTACAAATGATCTGTAAATCCTGTTCGCATGTTATGCTCAAGGAATCGGAGAAGAAAATCTATGAGAAAAAGTTGCTGAATCCAAATTTTAGCTATTTGGCCAAGAAGGCGTTGCATGGTCAAATTTTGACCAAGGCTAAAAAGTCCACAAAATGTCCAAATTGTGATGCCGTCAATGGTGGCGTTAAAAAGGGACCGGGTTTATTGAAAATTCTACATGATCCCTATAAGGGTAAGAAACAGGATCCCTTGATGAGCAAAGATTTGGATGAGTTAATGCAGGCTACCGATAATAATCGTGAACTAAATCAAATGTTGAGTAGCTACAATCACATGGAGGAGCTGAATCCTTTGACGGTGTTGGAATTGTTTAAAAGTATACCCAAACCTGACATACCCTTGTTGGGTATGACCTGTGAGGGTGCAAATCCGGCGAATTTGATTGTGACCAGGGTATTTGTGCCGCCGGTGTGTATTAGGCCATCGGTGGTGTCGGAGGTTAAGGCGGGAACGTAAGTACCCTTCTTATGTTTTTTATAAATTCCGTTATTAAAATAATTGTTGTTTTCCTTAGAACCGAAGATGACTTGACCATGAAACAAAGTGAAATCTTGCTCATCAATGATGTGATACAAAAACACATGACAGGTGGTGGAAAAATTGAATTGATCCAAGAAGACTGGGATTTCCTACAATTGCATGTGGCCTTGTATTTCCACAGTGAAATCTCTGGTATTCCCTTGAACATGGCCCCCAAGAAAACCACTCGTGGTTTGGTGCAACGTCTCAAAGGCAAACAGGGTAGATTTCGTGGTAATCTCTCCGGCAAACGTGTGGATTTTTCGGGACGTACTGTCATATCTCCCGATCCAAATCTTATGATACATCAAGTAGGTGTACCAGAAAGGGTGGCCAAGATCCTCACCTATCCGGAACGCGTAAATCCGGCAAATATACAAAAAATGAAGGAACTTGTCAAGAATGGTCCCAATGTCCATCCCGGTGCCAATTATGTCCAGCAAAGGGGATCGACTTTTAAAAAGTATTTGGCCTATGGTAATCGCGACAAGGTGGCCCATGATTTGAAATGTGGTGATATTGTGGAACGTCATCTCTGTGATGGTGACATTGTGCTGTTCAATCGCCAGCCTTCGTTGCATAAAATGTCCATTATGTGTCACCAGGCTAAGGTGCAACCGCAGCGAACCTTTCGTTTTAATGAGTGTGCCTGTACACCCTACAATGCTGATTTCGATGGCGATGAAATGAATTTGCATTTACCCCAAACCGAAGAGGCCAGAGCTGAAGCCTTGATATTGATGGGCAACAAATCGAATTTAGTTACCCCCAAAAATGGTGAAATCTTAATTGCAGCCACCCAGGATTTCATAACCGGAGGTTATTTGTTGACACAAAAAGATGAGTTTTTGACCAAGGAACAAGCAATGCAGTTGGTGGCATGTTTTTTGGCTGGTCCAGATGCAAACATGCAAATTGATATGCCACCACCGGCCATTATGAAGCCGCGTCGTCTTTGGACAGGCAAACAGATTTTCAGTTTACTGCTCAAACCCAACAAACAGTGTCCGGTTAATGTGAATCTCATTACCAAGGGCAGGAATTATACGAGCAATTATGATTTGTGTGCCAAGGATTCGTGTGAGTGAACAATCTTCGTATCAAATTGTTGCACGTTTTTATTATTTCATTTTCTCCTAGGGGTCATTATACGTAATTCCGAGTTACTTTGTGGTTCCATGGATAAAAGCACCATGGGCTCGGGTACCAAAAACTGTGTTTTCTATGTTATCCTTAGGGATTTTGGTGAGACATTTGCCACCAAATGCATGTGGCGTCTGGCAAGGGTAAGTTTTATTCTTTTGAGAAAAAAAAACCTAATTGTTTGTCTAATAGGCATGTAAGGGAAGCTACAACCAAACAAATACAAAACACCTGTTTTGATATTTGTTTTCATATCTTTTGTCATGGAACTATTAAGTAATCTTAATTGAAAATTATCTAAGAAAACTGTCGATTTACGTCAAAATCCATTCATTACGATTGGCATGAGTTGGAGACTATCTACCCTCTCTCCCTGTCTCTCTTCGTATTTGTACCCCTTAAGCTAAATGCCTTCGTCTTTAAACTTTTTATCATTGTCTCGCAAGGTGTTCGTTCATTAAAAAAAGAATTATTTCTTGTACTTTCTGCTATTGATAATACGTAAATAATAACGCTAACAAGACCGCCGCCTTGTCATTTGCAAATTAAAATCTGATTATTTCGGTTAATTTTTTTGTTATTGTTCTTTTCATTATCTAATCTGATTGCGGGGATTTGTTGTGAGCATGTTTGGTTTTGAAAATTTTCAGACAAAGCGATTTCGTGTAGTTTTTAGAGTTTCAAAAATGTACCGCCAAACAATCCAAAAATGATGGACAAATTTTCTTTTAGAAAATCACAAAATTTACCAAAATTAGTATTTTTTATCAAATTTAAAACTGATATTTTCTGGTTATTTATTATAGCTACGGTGTTATTTTGTTAGGAGACACATAGTAAAATAAGTTGTTGAATAAGTTCTCCTTTGACTAAGAACAACAAAAACAATGTTTTTTGGACGATTTGAACGAGTTTTGGAAAATTGCTCAATTGACCAAATTTGGTATTTTTTATCAAATTTAAAATTGATTTTTTCTTGTTATTTATTATAGCTACGGATTTCATTTGTTAGAAGACTCATAGTAAAATAAGGTGTAGAACAAGTTCCCCTTTGACAACGAACAACAAAAACAATGTTTTTTGGACGATTTCAACGAATTTAGGAAAAGTGCCCAAATGATCAAAATTGTTTTTTTTTATCAAATTTAAAATTGATTTTTCCTTATTATTTATTATAGGAGACTCATGTTAAAATAAGGCGTAGAATAAGTTTTCCTTTGACAACGAACAACAAAAACAATATTTTATGGAAGATTTTAATGAATTTGGGAAAAGTGCTCAATTGACCAAATTTGGTATTTTTTTATCAAATTTGAAATTGATATTTTCTTGCTATTTATTATAGTTACGGATTTCATTTGTTAGGAAACTCATAGTAAATAAAGGTGCAAAATAAGTTCTCTTTGGACCACGAACAAGAAAAACCATGTTTTATGGACGATATTAACGAATTTGGGAAAAGTGCTTAATGGACCAAAATTGGTATTTTTTTATCAAATTTAAAATTAATTTTTCCTTGTTATCTAATATAGCTACGAATTTAATTTGTTAGGAAACTCATAGTAAGATGAGGTGTAGAACAAGTCCTCCTTTGACAACGAACAACAAAAACAATGTTGTATGGCAGATTTTAATGAATTTGAAAAAAGAGCTCTTTCGACCAAAATGGGTATTTCTTTCAACAAATTTAAAACCGATATTTTCTTGATACATACTACTGATACAGCTTTGATTTATTTGAAGACCCATATTAATATTTGACGTAGAATAAGTTCTTCTTTGACAAAGAACAGGAAAAACAAGGTCACACGGAAGATTTTAATGTTTTTAGTAAAAATTCTAAATTGACCAAAAAGAAATTTTAAATTGACATTATCTTGTTATTTATTGTAGCTATGAATTTCATTTGTCTCCAAGACTCTTAGTGAAAATTGATGAGAAATATGTTCTCCTTTGACCACGAACAAGAAAAACAATATTTTATACCTCCAACACCCGCTGTTTAATTGGAATATTTTCAAAAAATGATTTCTTTTAAATTCTTTTTTTATTTTTTCTGCAAACATTTTTTCTAAACTCTTGGCAATCCTGTTACACTGTAAATGAATGGAAGGAAATACGAAAGTCTGGCATATGCCGATGGCAAGGCCTCCGTACACTGATCCATGGGCACAAATGAATTTATACCGATTTGTATCCAATTATAATTGGGATCACGTTTAACCAAAGCACCACCCGAGTCACCATTACAAATAGACATATTGGCAATGTCATAACCCTTGGCACACAGTGTGGATGCTATGACCAAACCCGGTTCATAGACACCACTACAATCACTGTTATCAATCACTTGCACCTGAGCCCATAACAATTCCTCCGAAGCGTCCATGTATTCATCATTCATGATGCCAAAGCCGGAAATTGCTGCCACCGAACCCGTCAAATTTTCCGTTACCAAAGCCGTTGGCATCAGGGTAATTGGTGCAATATCTGTGGAGAATGTCAGCGGTTCGGGTAACTCTATGAGACACACATCATTGTTATAATTTGTGGGATTATATTGGGGATGAACGTTTAGATTTGTGGCGGTCATGTTGAGAGCCGTATCATCGAATAATTCGATGGTTCCAAACACAAGCAGCAGGGATTCAAAGCCATAACAACAATGGCCGGCAGTTAAGACCCAGGAATCGGAAATAATCGAGCCACCACACAAAAGATCATCGAACTCATCCTGTCTGATGATTACCTGCCAGGGAAATTGGCCCGGTGAGGCCTTGTAGCCGGAGACAATGCGGCCCTGGGAAAAATTTTTGGGGATTTTTTAATTTTTTTTCTTTTTAATTTTAAAAATCTTAACCTACCTCTAACTTAGCTGCCAGTATTTGTTGTAATCCCACTGATAAACATATTATCAAAAAAGCAATGGTAATCCTTGTCATTTCTGCCGTTGTTTCTGCTATTAGACTCAGTTGATTCTGTATGCGACAATGCGATGCGTTCGTTGTTGCCCAGCTAAAGCTCCTACCAAGACTATATGAAGTTTTGCCTAAGGCATGCCTGCTTCTCTTACTCTTATTGATCGTTGTCGATTTTTTTTTGCTGTCAGTCTGATATGTGTGCTCAAGTGTTAAGATAAGGCCTGCCTATATCACTTTCCACGGATAGATATTTTGCAAAGTTTATGGGTTTGTTTTAGGAAAAATGAAAATAAGCTTTTTATTTTTCTCTTCTCATTCAATTGCAATAAAGATTAAAATTCCGTAGAAGATTCTCAGGGATGATGGCGTTTGGCATAGCAAATGAAGAGAAACAACTCCGACCACAATGTTGTCTGGCGTCAGGTGTAAAGAAAATTATCACCTTGACTTATTGGGATATTATTTGGGCTTCGGTGTAAACCCCCCCAACTATCATTATCACCACCAACCCCATTGGAATCTTATCTTTCACGACGTTTTTTATTTCGACGTTTTCAATTGCTTAATGATGTTTCTTGGGAAAAAAGATTTGTTTCTTAAGTAGCAAAACATTTTATAATTGTTTGTAATTAAGCTTTTGATTTTTTGTTGTTGGTATCATAAAAGAATTATCTTTTTTCAGAACGCAAGCACTTTCCAATGAATCCGGAGATATAAACTAAAATATATATGGAAGACCTCCTAAACACCTAAACCAAAATTATAACCGAATTCGTGAAAATTTTACATAAATTTTTTATGTACCCAATTTGTTTGTGTTATTTTCTCGAAATGTATAGGACCTAAAGCTCCCACTTCTTTGGAGACTCATAGTGAAATTTGATGTAGACTTACTTTTCCTTTGACACCAAAAAGCTATGACTAAGTTTTATGGGAGATTTGGACATTTTTGGAAAAAGCTACCCAAAAATACCCAAAATTCACATAAATTTTTTATGTACCCAATTTGTTTGTATTATTTTCTCGAAATGTATAAGACCTACAGCTCTCACTTCTTTGGAGGCTTATAGTGAAATTTGATGTAGAATTACCTTTCCCTTGACACCAAACAGCTATGACTAAGTTTTATGGGAGATTCAGACATTTTTGGAAAAAGATACCCAAAAATACCCAAATTTTACAAAGGGCATTTCTATCATCTGGTATCATAAAAGAAATCTTTTTTTTTTCAGGAACGCAAGCACGTCCCAATTAATCGGGAGTATAAATAAATAAGTATATGGAAGACCTCCTAAACACCTAAACCAAAATTATAACCGAATTCATGAACATTTCACATAATTTTTTTATGTACCCAATTTGTTTGTGTTGTTTTCTTGGAATGTATAGGAACTACAGCTTTCACATCTTTGGAGACTCATAGTGAAATTTGATGTGGACTTACTTTTCCTTTGACACCAAACCGCTATGACTAAGTTTTATGGGAGATTTGGACATTTTTGGGAAAAGCTACTCAAAAATACCCAAATTTCACATACATTTTTTATGTACCCAATTTGTTTGTATTGTTTTCTTGGAATGTATTGGAACTACAGCTTTCACATCTTTGGAGACTCATATTGAAATTTGATGTGGACTTACTTTTCCTTTGACACCAAACAGCTATGACTAATTTTATGGGAGATTTGGACATTTTTGGAAAAAGATATCCAAAAATACCCAAATTTCACATACATTTTTATGTACCCAATTTGTTTGTGTTATTTTCTCGAAATGTATAGGACCTACAGCTCTCACTTCTTTGGAGACTTATAGTGAAATTTGATGTGGACTTACTTTTCCTTTGACACCAAACAGCTATGACTAAGTTTTATGGGAGATTTGGACATTTTTGTAAAAAGATACCCAAAAATACCCAAATTTTACAAAGGGCATTTCTATCATCTGGTATCATAAAATAAATCTCTTTTTCCAGAAACGCAAGCTCGTTCCAATGAATCGGGAGATATAAACAAAAGAGATATATGGAAGACCTCCTAAATAACTAAACCGAAACTGTAACCGAATTCGTGAAAATTTTACATAAATTTTTTATGTGCCCAATTTGTTTGTGTTATTTTCTCGAAATGTATGGGACCTACAGCTCTCACTTCTTTGGAGACTTATAGTGAAATTTGATGTAGACTTACTTTTCCTTTGACACCAAACAGCTATGACTAAGTTTTATGGGAGATTTGGTCATTTTTGGAAAAAGTTACCCAAAAATACCCAAATTTCACAACATTTTTTATGTACCCAATTTGTTTGTGTTATTTTCTCGAAATGTATAGGACCTACATTTTTCACTTCTTTGGATAGTCATAGTGAAATTTAATGTAGACTTACTTTTCCTTTGACACCAAACAGCTATGACTAAGTTTTATGGGAGATTTGGTCATTTTTGGAAAAAGTTACCCAAAAATACCCAAATTTCACATACATTTTTTATGTACCCAATTTGTTTGTGTTGTTTTCTTGGAATGCGTTATGTCTACAGATTCCACATCTTTGGAGACTCATAGTGAAATTTGATGTAGACTTACTTTTCCTTTGACACCAAACAGCTATGACTAAGTTTTATGAGAGATTTGGACATTTTTTGAAAAAGTTACCCAAAAATACCCAAATTTCACATACATTTTTTATGTACCCAATTTGTTTGTGTTATTTTCTCGAAATGTATAGGACCTACAGCTCTCACTTCTTTGGAGACTCATAGTGAAATTTGACGTCGACTTACTTTTCTTTTGACACCAAACAGCTATGACTTAGTTTTATGGGTGATTTGGACATTTTTGGAAAAAGCTACCCAAAAAATACCAAAATTTTACAAAGGGCATTTCTGTTATCTGGTATCATAAAAGAAATCTCTTTTTTTTCAGGAACGCAAGCAGCACGTTCCAATGAATCGGGAGTATAAATAAAGAGGTATATGGAAGACCTCCTAAACAACTAAACCAAAATTGTAAACGAATTCGTAAAAATTTTACATAATTTTTTTTTGTACACAATTTGTTTGTGTTGTTTTCTTGAAAAGTATTGGAACTGCAGCTTTCACATCTTTGGAGACTCATAGTGAAATTTAATGTAGATTTACTTTTCCTTTGACACCAAACAGCTATGACAAAGTTTTATGGGAGATTTGGGCATTTTTGGAAAAAGATACCCAAAAATAACCAAAATTCACATACATTTTTTATGTACCCAATTTGTTTGTGTTATTTTCTGGAAATGTATAGGACCTACAGCTCTCACTTCTTTAGAGACTCATAGTGAAATTTGATGAAGACTTACTTTTCCTTTGACACCAAACAGCTGTGACTAAGTTTTATGGGAGATTTGGACATTTTTGGAAAAAGATACCCAAATTTCACATACATTTTTTATGTACCCAATTTGTTTGTGTTATTTTCTCGATATGTATAGGACCTACAGTTTTCACTTCTTTGGAGACTCATAGTGAAATTTGACGAAGACTTACTTTTCCTTTGACACCAAACAGATATGACTAAGTTTTATGGGAGTTTTGGATATTTTTGGAAAAAGATACCCAAAAATAACCAAAATTTTACAAAGGGCATTTCTATGATCTGGTATCATAAAAGAAATCTTTTTTTCAGGAACGCAAGCACGTTCCAATGAATCGGGAGTATAAATAAAGAGGTATATGAAAGACCTCCCAAACACCTAAATTAAAATTATAACCGAACTCGTGAAAATTGTCCATAATTTTTTATGTACCCAATTTGTTTGGGTTGTTTTCTTGGAATGTATTGGAACTACAGTTTTCTCAACATTGGAGGCTTATAGTGAAATTTGATGTAGACTTACTTTTCCTTTGACACCGAACAGCTATGGCTTAGTTTTATGGGAGATTTGGACATTTTTGGAAAAAGATACCCAAAAATAACCAAAATTCACATACATTTTTTATGTACCCAATTTGTTTGTGTTATTTTCTGGAAATGTATAGGACCTACAGCTCTCACTTCTTTAGAGACTCATAGTGAAATTTGATGTAGACTTACTTTTCCTTTGACACCAAACAGCTATGACTAAGTTTTATGGGAGATTTGGACGTTTTTGGAAAAAGATACCTAAAAATACCCAAATTTTACAAAGGGCATTTCTATTATCTTGATATTGGCAGATTTTTTAGTCTTATGTTTACATAAGCCACAAAAAGGATTTCCAGGACCTCTAAATGTCCCATAAATATTAGAAAGATTTTCAAAATACCTTATATTGTTCCTTTATTTATAAAAAACCTTTGGTTTATTAAAATTTTATCTTCATTCCAGATCGCCTCCTATTTCATACAAAATCGCGGTTTTTCATTTGGCATCAGTGATGTGACACCCAGTGCCCGACTATTGGAGGAAAAACAACGTCTGCTGGAGAAGGGCTATGCCAAGTGTGATGAATATATTTTGGAAATGAAAAAGGGTACACTGCAATGTCAGCCGGGTTGTACCCCAGAACAGACACTAGAAGCGGTTATGTTAAGAGAACTCTCCAGTATTCGTGAGCAAGCGGCCAAGGCATGTTTCCGCGAACTGCATCCCACAAACAGTGCTCTGATTATGGCTCTATCCGGTTCGAAGGGTTCCAACATTAATATATCACAAATGATTGCCTGTGTGGGCCAGCAGGCCATTAATGGTAAACGTGTGCCAAATGGTTTTGAAAATCGTGCCCTGCCGCATTTTGAAAAGTTTTGTAAGTTGCGGGAAAAAATTCGCTTTAGATTTGAAATAAAAATAATTCAATTTTTTTAGCTGCCATTCCCGCTGCCAGAGGTTTTGTGCAAAACAGTTTCTATTCCGGTCTAACACCCACCGAGTTTTTCTTCCACACCATGGCTGGCAGAGAGGGTCTGGTAGATACGGCCGTAAAAACCGCCGAAACTGGTTACCTTCAAAGACGTTTGGTCAAAGTAGGGAAATACAATTTTTTTCCAAATCAAAATTAATTAAAATTTTCCATTTTCCCAGTGTCTGGAAGATCTGGTGGTCCACTATGATGGTTCGGTGCGCAATGCCATTGGTGAAATTGTGGAACTCATATATGGTGGTGATGGTTTGGATCCAGTCTTTATGGAAGTCAAAAACAAACCTGTGGATATGGTAAGGCAACTGAACCACCTAAGAGCCTGTTGCCCCTATCGCAATGAGGAACCGCTACCGGCCGAGAAAATCATGGAAACAACGAAAAATATTTTAAAGGAAGAAGAGTTTACCATGAGCCGAAAGGATTTCCAAAATGAAGTTGTGTAAGTCGGGCATTTCGAATTTTTAGGAATCTAATTTAAATTTATTTTTTGCTTTACTCTCAGATCCTTCATCGAAAAGGTCTCCCAGAAAATCACCAAAGTCCAGGAGAAATACAAAGATCATCCCAAACTGGGCCATGAAGTAGAACGCTTGACGGAGGGACAAATACGCACCTTTATGCGCTGGGTCAATGACAAATATAATCGAGCCGTAACCGAACCCGGCACAGCGGTGGGAGCTGTGGCCGCCCAAAGTATTGGTGAACCCGGCACTCAAATGACATTGAAAACTTTCCATTTTGCCGGTGTCGCCTCCATGAACATTACCCAGGGTGTACCGCGTATTGTGGAAATTATCAATGCCACCAAGACCATATCGACACCCATTATCACAGCGGAAATAGCCAATAACACAAGCATGGAATTTGCCCGTAAGGTTAAGTCACGCATAGAAAAGACCACCTTGGGAGAGATTTCGTCGTACATTGAGGAAGTCTACAAACTGGACGATTGTTATTTGGTCATCAACTTAGATTTAAATCGTATTAAGGTTTTGGGTTTGGAAATCAATGCGGAGACCATTCGATATTCGTAAGTCCTGGGATAACAATTTTTGTTTTTATTTTTTCTTAAAATTATGGCCATTTTATTATCCTTTAGGATTTGTACCTCCAAATTGCGCATCAAACCAGCCTTGGTGGACATTATGGGTTCCTCCATTATTATTGTGCGCATTGATAGCTCCAAACATGGAGCTGCCTTGAATGCTGAATTACAACGTTTATCCTCGGCCATACAAAATGTGGTGGTAGCTGGTCTGCCACATATCTCCAGGGCTGTTATTGCCATTGATGATTCCCGACAACCGGCCACATATAAGTTATGTATAGAAGGTGCTGGCCTAAGGGATGTTATGGCCACATATGGTGTTGTGGGTACCAAGACAAAGAGCAACAATATTTGGGAGGTTTACAACACCTTGGGTATAGAGGCGGCACGCACAACAATTATGACTGAAATTACCGATGTCATGGAGGGTCATGGCATGAGTGTGGATCATCGCCACATTATGTTGCTGGCTAGTCAAATGACATCACGTGGTGAGGTTTTGGGTATAACACGTCATGGCCTGGCCAAAATGCGGGAAAGTGTTTTCAACCTGGCCTCGGTAAGTTGTAGCAAAGACATGCCACTTAAAAATCCTCCTAAAAAAATCATTTAAAATTTCAATTCTAGTTTGAAAAAACCTCGGACCATTTGTTCGATGCCGCCTATTTTGGTCAAACCGATGCGGTAGATGGTGTCTCGGAACGCATTATATTGGGTATGCCAGCCTCCATTGGCACTGGCCTCTTTAAACTGGTACACAATCATCAAGACACCGAACTACCCGAAATACAAGCCCCCATATTTTCTTCGGCTGCGGCGTGATAGCAGTGAGTCCTTTAATGCTTTTTGAAAATGCCTTTTTAAAATAAAAAAACAAACAAGACTCCAACATCTGGTTACTTTCCTATATATTTTGTGTTATGTTATATTTGTTATATATCGCTCTTGAATGGGGGGGATATAAACGTCCCCCGATTTAAAATCTTTTTTGGATATAAAGGAAAAAGAAATGGGCATTTTCTCTCAACAGCAGGTTATCGCATCAACTCGCTAGCAAAACATGGGTTATTTAGATACAATAATATTTAATAATAAAGACTAAGCCTACAAATTACGAATATAAAGAAGAAGAAGAAGTAGTAGAACAAAAAAACGTCTCTTTTTTCCTTCTTTTAAAAATAAATCCTGACGGCCTCTTCGGCATTTTGTTCCACTGGACAATAGGGACATTTGAGTATGTGGCCATTACTTAACTTGTGTAGGGCATCATTGGATATAACATGGCCACAGGTTAGCTTTTTGGGTGGATTATCCTCTGTGGTCTGTTGCCTTAGGATGGGGCATGCAAATATTGAGTGATAACGATATTCGGGATCCAAATCAATCTCAATTGGCAACTCGTCGCGGCCACTCCATATATTAAGGACTTGGCGGGATTGCATGACCTGAATTTAAAGAAATTTAATTACAATTTATAAGGAAACCCTCTCCTCCTTCCCTCCCCTTACCTGTTTAATATTCAACAAAGCCGGCAATGCAGTACAGCCCGCATTAATGACCACCGACAAGGCTGAATTCTTACTTATACCTAAAGTATGGCAGGCATCTTTTAGAAATATATACGAAGCTTCAGTCCACATTTCGGGCGAGATCAAATGTTTATACGGCGAATTCTCAATGCCCGTGGGCAAATATATAAAACAACCCATTAAATTGGGTATTTCCTGCTCAAAACGATCAATGAACTTATGGAAGTTATTACGTGCATAGGCAATGGCCTCTGCTTGTGCGCTAATGCCCTTCGAAATAATTTGCAAAAATGCCAAACGATGTAGCTTAAATTCCAAAGTTGAATTTTTCGCAATCAACTCATTGGAGTAACGTGAAGTCCATTCCAAGGCCAAGCTTAAATCATGCTGTTGTATGGCTTTCCAAATGCGAAAGATTTCGGCAAAGCTACGTTCCGACTCGAACACCTCGCGGGCCATATCTTCGGGCATTTTGGATTCTTTAATCAGCAACTGGGCCACATCGTCCATACCCTGGCGACAATAGTGCTTTGCCATAACCTTGTTCAAAAGCATAATATTCTCCTCATCCTGCAGGGCATCTGTCCTCGTGGTGGCCGTAAAATCCGATATGAAATTGCGATCAATAACTTTGCCCACCTTTGAGACGGCTCCATGTAATTCTCGATGTTCGCTAGAGAGACGTTGTAATTTTTCGTTGGTTTTTTGTAAAGCCTCAGTGATAATTGAAATTTGGCTATCAGTTAAGCGGGGAGTGGAGGCTAAACAAACAAAAACAATAACATTATTACAAAAATACATTGCATTTAAATCCCATATCACTTACGTTCCATTTCAACAAGCATTTCTGCCTCATCGGTCATGTGATCATCCGCATCCACCTGGGTGCCTGTGTTAATGGTTCCCGTCATTTCCTGCTCAGCCCGGGCCAATACCTGTAACAGCTCCTCCAACAATGAGGCAACATCATTTATTTCCGCCGCTGCATTTTCACGTATCTCCGAGAATTTGTTAATAACACGATCCAATTCCTTTTCCACAGCAGTTATGGCTTCCAATTCAGCCGCTGGAGTATTGCTAGTCATGTTTGTTGAACAACGACACAAAGTTCCCTCGAACACACACAAAATAAAATCTCCACAACAACAACCAAACTCCTGCAACAACGTTTTGTTTTTCTTCTTTCTTTCTTCTTCTTCTTCTTCTTCTTCTTATTGGGTCTTTGATAGATCTCTCCTTGACAATTGGCAAACAATGAATTGCATTACCCAAATATAGGCCAATGACTTCTAAGCGCGCTGTTCCGACCGGATCAAAGATATGTTCAAGTAGTATATACCTTTTTGCTTGCTGTTTTTTTTTCTCTTATTTTGTTGGTACAAAATACAAAAAATACAACGACACCATCGACGACGAAAGTTGACAACAAAACAAAATGCAGAACAAAAGATGGGTGGCACCTTAAATTATGGCGCTCTCCGTGTGGCAATGTTAGCAAAGGGGGTAAAGGTAAACAAACAAAATCAATCAAGTGAAAAGGCAACAAGTCGAATTCACGTGTAACCCTACACCAATTTAAAAGCATGTTTACATATACGAAATATAGTGGATTTCAAATGGAATTTCAGTGATTGGTATATGTAAACAAGCTTAATGATGGTAAAAATGTATAGTTGGTTATTAAAAGTGCATATAAACCTGCGACATGAAAATGAAATAAAAATAGTAGAATAAAAATATAACAGAATGTCAATAAAAAGAATACAGACCGTTGTATGGCAATAATAAAAAAACAAGATTGCCAACGAGAACGCAAAATTTCAAATTACAGCTGATTTAGTTAGCAATTTTACGAAAATACGATAAATAATTTTTGTGAGAATATCGGGGCCAAACCTTTGAATTGCCGAAAATAAGGAGATACTTTTATTTTCATTCTTTATCTAGAAAATTATAAGCTCTATGTTTATATCAAGATTTCAAGCCAATTTGATATTTTTCATCATTTTTAAAATTAACGGAAAATCGCAAAAACATGAATGAAATTACTAGATTTTTTTTCTGAAATGAGAACGAAAGTTTTTAATTCGTCCATTTCATGGCAATCTTGATTCATTTCTTCTAGCGTTCCGTGTTGGTCAGTTGGTCTTTCTGATAAAGATACAATGTAAACGTTCTTTAAGTTATTTAGATGTGGGTTTTTATGCAAGAAAACTTTCTCGTGAATCAATAGGTAGTCGCTGATGGGACAATGAACTGTCAAACCAATTTTGGAATTGCAAATTTTGATTGACAAATTAATGGAATTTGTAAAAATGTTTGAAAAATTCATATCATAAGAACCTCCGATTGGCATGGTATAAGAAAATCTACTTATTTTATAAAAAAATCCATGGTACAATAAAAAGGTAGGCTCCCAGCTGATTACAATTTGTTTCTAAGTGCGCCCGACTTCTGCCAATTTTGTGTATGTATTTGTTGTTTTAAAAAATAAAAACCAAATATTTTCAAAATCAATGATTGGAACAAACTTAAATTGCGGGGGGCGCATTAATAATATTAACGAGATTTGCCATGGGATTGAAAGATTTAACACTCAGGATCATATTTTTGAGAGAACATCCAGGCATTTCTTTCATCTTTTGCGCTTTTTGATTCATTTTAGAAATGAACAAAAATATCAAATAAATGAAAACAACTAGTTGCCTATAATTTTGAATAATTCTGACAGGAAGCGGGCATAGCCTCAGAGCTGTATTTCTGTAGTTTTACCTCTTTATTGTATCATGTAAAAATCTACTTAATTTAGAAAGAAGTTCCCAGAGGACCATTACCTGTGTTCTTTTATCAAGTATACACTTTTCTGTGGATAAGAGTCACTTTAGAGCTCTCATTAGCATTAATTTTTGTTCTGTGAAAATGAGAAGTGAAAATATTTACAAAGGAAAGAAATGTCAAATTAAAAATTTATTACAAGGAATATATGTCATTTATTATTTTTATAGATCAAGAGTCCAGCATCTGAAGCAAGGTGGAAGAATACAGGTAGATGCATCAACGCTTGGGAACATAAATATGCCAAAATTTTATAACTGTTTTTCAAAAAAAGGTAGATTTTTATATGTTTTTTATACAAAGGTTGTTGTAATACGCATTTTTCAACAATTTTTACAAATTGCAATAATTTTTCCTTCAACATTTTCAATTCCAATTCTTCTACCATGCTCTGAAGTCAATTTACATTAGTCCGTCTTTTCATTATTTAAACACAATTTTCAGTGGTGATGTAAACATACACTTATCAAGAAAAGCCTTGCGTTCACGTCAAGCGCAAATCCCGCCATTTAGGTTTCTCTCTCGCACTCTCTCTATCTCACTACCATCTCTCACCTGTGTTTATCCATTTGACGTCTACTTCAACCTCTTGCTTGAGATTACCCCCCCTTTGAGATTTTGTCAAATTGGAATTGTTTTGTTTTTAAATTGTGTGCTGTTTATTTCATTTATTGAAGACAAAAAAATGAGCGAAAGAAAGAAAAACAAAAAATCGGTATGAACTCCCAAAAGCACGCACACAATGCAACGAAATTGAATCATCATTATGGGCTTTGTTTTCGTCATTTCTTTTTTGTTTTTTTGCAGAAGGAAGAGATAGCCAAAGAGTTTGACTTGCCGGAACGTAAATCGAAAATAGCCACAATAATGAAGCAGGATGGTCAGGCTTATTGTATATGTCGCACATCCGACTGCAGTCGGTTTATGATGTAAATGGAATCTGTGTAAAAGAAAAATATGAAGAACATTTTCAATTTATTTCTGTTTTTAGTTGCTGTGATGGCTGTGAAGAGTGGTATCATGGTGATTGCATCAATATTACCGAAAAGGAGGCAAAACACATTAAACACTACTACTGTCAGCGATGTAAGGAAGAGGATCCCTCGTTACAGACAGTGTTTCGTGTGATACCCGTGGAGAAAACAGGAAATCCCATGGGCAACACATCAATGCCTGTGGACCAAGAAAAACGCAAGAAATCCAAAGATTTATCGGCTGAAGGCGGGAGTGCTAGTGGTGGTGGAAAATCTGTTACAAAGGTCAATCTTTGTGGAACCTGTGAAGGATGCCGCACACCCAATTGCAATGTCTGTGAGGCATGCCGTATTCGTGTGGGCCATAAGCCACGCTGTGAGAAACGGGTTTGTTCGGTACAGTTACAGGCTGAATTGACCGGTCAGGTTCCAGCACCACGGCCTGCCAAAGAAAGGAAAAAGGTGAAACCGAACAAGGAACGCCAACGGAAACGTAAACGCTCCTTGACCCCAGAAGTTTTCAACAATCCCGAACTGGAGGGTATACGTCAATGTTATGGTCCCAGCTGTCGACGCAATGCTCGCCCCCAATCGAAGTACTGCAGTGATGAGTGTGGCCTAAACTTGGCAACGGCTCGAATTTTCCAAGTCCTGCCGCAACGTGTACAAGAATGGAACCTGACACGCTGTCGCGCCGAGGAAGAAAACAAAAAACAACTCGATCAAATACGTTCCAAGCAATCCCTGGTACGTTTTGCTCTGGCTGAATTGGATAAACGGCACCAGGAACTGGATATGGTGGTGGAAAGAGCCAAACACAGTACCTTGGATCCAAATCTCAAGGAGCACAACGACATTGAAGATGAACAGTCGATGTATTGCATTACCTGTGGCCATGAAATACATTCCCGTACCGCCATAAAACACATGGAGAAATGTTTTAACAAATACGAATCTCAGGCTTCGTTTGGTAGCATTTTCAAGACACGAATTGAGGGGCAATCCATGTTCTGTGATTTCTATAATCCGGCCAGTAAAACCTATTGTAAGCGGCTCAAAGTGTTGTGTCCCGAACACTGTAAAGATCCCAAGGTCAGTGATGCGGATGTGTGTGGTTGTCCGCTGGTTTCCAATGTCTTCACACCCACGGGAGAGTTTTGTAGGGCACCCAAGAAGAGTTGCTACAAACATTATGTATGGGAAAAAATACGACGGGCCGAAATCGATTTGGAGCGGGTGCGCCAATGGCTGAAAATGGATGAACTTTTGGAACAGGAACGACAAATAAGACATCAAATGGCCTCCAGAGCCGGAGTATTGGGTCTAATGCTTCACTCCACCTACAATCATGAAGTTATGGAAGAGTTGTGCCGTCAACAGCAGCAATTAGCGGCGGCCCAACAACAAAAACAGCAATTGTTGGAAAAACAACAGGAAATGCATATCATATAACAGCAATAACAACAGCAACAATAGGCAGCAGCGGGTACACAAAACAATCAAAATATTATCTTTAGAATTTTGATATTAAGACGGACGACGAACGAACGAGAATAGAAGTACATTTCTATCAATCATGTCTAACCAAATCACCCACTGACTGTCCGTCAGACTGACTGCGTAGTACTAATAATAAGAAATAAAAGTGAAAGAAATTCAAACAGAAGAACAAGAATGAGTGCTGGCCAAAATTTCTTTAGGGGGGTTATTGTTTAATGTTTTATTATTATTTATTAAATATGTTGTTTACTCATCGCGCTTAAATGGGTTTTTCATATTCTTTTCTTTCTTTATTTTATAATAATAATTGTTTTGTTTTTTTTTTTTTCTTGTTGTTGTGAGTTGTTTTCTTGTCTCGTCGTTAAAGTTATAAATACAGTAAATAAGAGTAATAGTAGTTAGTTATTATTATTATTATTATTACGTTACGATTACGTTTTTTTTTTTATTCTATGGCCTTATCCATGAAATCAAGAAATCTTTTGGCATATTGTTCTGGATCGCATGTTGAAATACCATCAACATTACTGCCATACTTTACGGTTTTGGCAGCCTTGGCTGCCTGCTTCTTGACGCCATACTGAGTCAACACATCGATAATGGCAATGAAGTAAATCTCGCGTCTCTCTTCAATACTGGGAATTGCATACTTATCCACCTCGTAGACCACCTCCTTGTACTGGGCACATCGTGGCGAATCGGGCGGTGTGTTATAGGTCCATCGCTCGCCGCTGTCGCCCTCCTCACTTTCACTGTTCTCGCTGCGTCCAGCAGCACTCTGAGGACCCCCACCCTGCAGTTCCTCCTCCTCGGCGCGTACACAATCATGCAGGCCTACCAGCAGTGAGTAGTCCATTATGTGTAGTTTTGTCAACAGCTCCACATCGTTGCTCAGCACATCCATTAGTTTCTTTTTGGCCTCTTCACCAATCTCGATACGTACCTTTTGCTTAATGAAATCATTATCTTTATATGTTGGCAATGGCTTTTCCAACTCCTTTTCGGAAGCCTCACGATCCACGGTGCTGCCCTTCAGATCGAATTTCTTGTGTATGGTCAGACTGGAACTGAAGACATTACGCATCACACCAAAATAATACTGCACACTTTCGACGGTGATGCGATACATGCCCAAGTACTGGGGCAACAAGGTGTTGCCGTGACGTTCCACCACATAGGGGTGGTATTGTTTTAGAAATGCATGCATGCGTTCGATCTCCTCGGAGGTCAAACTTTTAATGATGAAGAACTTGTTGTAGCTCTCATAGAACTGCGCACCCGATTTACCCGACGAATCAATGCGTACTGGCTGGGAACGGGTCAACGACTCGCGGTAGTCAACATCATCGACGCCAAAGCGTTCGCGCAAATTGCGAAATACCAATGGACAATATTCCTTAACCTTAAAATGCGAGGGCATGTTCTCCTTGTTGAACAAATGATTATCGACTTTAATCTTGGAATAGGCCCGGAAGTCGTCCGGCAACAGCATCACAGGTATATTCACATGGCTCAGTTCGTTAATTGTGTGATCTATACCCCACATCAAGACACTGAGTATGGGCTCATTGGCCCGGAATAGCTTCACCTTTTGGTGTTTGACACGAAAATGCTTCTTTTTCAGTATACGTGGTTCACCTGAACCTTTCTTATCCATTTTGTCGTCGCTTCAAAGAACGAATATAGATTTTTCTTGTTATTTTCTCGGCCGTTTTACACAACACACACACTTTTTTCTTTTCCACTACTGGCTGCTTCAATTATTTCCTTCTTGTGATGTTCAATTAGGTGTTCTGCAAAAATCAATGTTTTCGTGTTTTTTTCTTTTCGTTTTTGCTGCTCTTATTTTACTTGTTCTCCGTTTACTGCGGGCGGTAGTAAATCCTGCGAGAGGTGTTTCTTGTTTCTATTGCTGCTGCTGCTCATCCATTATTTGCGTATATATTTCTTTGCGTTTTTTCTCTTTTTATTTCTTCACAAGTAAAAAAATTCTTTTTTTTTTGTTTTTGACGTTTTCCTATGTGTGGTTGTTCGTCTATCAGCTGTTTCTCAAGTTACTGTCATGTCTCTCTCATTCGCTCTCCATTAAAAACATGACACAGTGTCACGAGTAACAAAAATGCAGAGATGCCATTGCACTGAGTTTATAAATAAACAAACGGAATTGATTGCGTTGCTTGTTGTTGTTGTTCTCTTATTACTTGCTTTATGATGTGTTTACATTTAAAAAAAGATTCTAATCACTGAAGGGCAATAAAACAATAGTGTTAGTCATGGCACTATGAATACTGATAATGTAGATAAATTAAATATAATGGAAATACAATGAAGCAAATTTCTTTGTTATCTTGGAGAAATCGCTGTGTTTGGTATCGGTTACAGAAATACTTGTCTTTCTGTTAAAAGGAAAAATAGAATTAAAAGCTTTAAATATGCCACTAAATAGAAGGTATGAGTAAAAAAATGTGTCATATTATTGCCTTGACTAAATCCTATTTTCAAGAAATTTTTATTCATTTATTTCAAAGAAATTTTATGACATATTCCTAATTACCTAATGTTTTCCGGTAATACAAAATGATGATTCCTATATATAGGGTATACGACTTCCAAATTTGGAAAATATTTATATTCTGATTGTTCATGTTTTTCAATGATTTTTTATTGTTGATACTATTGAACACCTAAACAAAGTCCACTACCAATATTTGGAGCCTTTTAAGAAAATGCAATGCGGTTATAGCATTCGTTTTTTATATTTGGTCTGTTCCAGAACTACACGAATGCAAAGGTTTTTATTACGATAACAGACTTTGCCTTTATGATATCGAAAAAAAAATTCAAAACTAGTAGATTCATGCAGGTTCTGCAACAGAGCAATAGTCTATCATTTGCTCTGTTCTAGAAGCTGCAACTTTTTTTTAAGCTTTGTGCAGCTCCCATATATATCTGCGCTCGATTTGCCTTTTATTGCGCACCAAATGTGTAACATTAGTCCAAAAAGAATCGAATTGAGCCTTGAGGTCCCACATATATATGTTTTATCCGATTTTGTATTAAAGTTCCTCACACCCGTAAAATGCTCTGCACAACAACTATTTTTGATCCGATCTATCAGATACAGCATAGAAATGCATCTGCTAAATTTAAAAGAGATCGGTTCAGTTTTGGATAAAGCTCTCATATATATCTTCATGTGATTTCAGGTTTATTGATCCTAAAAAGCATATCAGTTCAATCGAATGGATTTTGATGAGTATCGGCTCAGACACAAATGCCTCCGTCAAATTTAAGGTGTAATTACATAAACAACTTGAAGTCTTCTGGTATGATTTAATTTCCCATTTATTTCCCTAAATATGGGAATTGGAGTAGGGTATCATAAAGTCCGACCGCCCTACTTTTAGCATTCCTTTACAGGTTTCCTTTTGAAAAAACCAATTCAAGCCACTGTGCCATCTTGACAGATCATAGATGGAGTGTTGCAAAAATATGAAAGAAAGTGGAAGGAAATGCCAAAAAAATTCGGACACGAAAAGGGAGGAGACCACCACCAACATTATCATCATGGAAAAAGTGTGCAAATTCTACTATTTTGTAGACGTGATAAGTGTCAGCGCTGCACGGGACGGACAAGGCGAGCACAGAAAATTGTATCACTAACACATTTTTAAACATTTACCATGGTCTTTTTTTAATTAACATTTATTGTTTATTTTCTTTTCGCGGCTAGGGTGAGAGAAACAAATCAACAGCGGAATAAAAAGTATTTGTAGTATTTGTTGTGGTGGGTCGGTTTGTGGGTTGCTGTATACCGGAGCAATGTGTAGAGGGGGTGGGGACGGGGTTGTTGGGCGAGCAGTGTGCTGAAAGCAGCAGTATATGCAAACAAAGTGAATGAGTAATAATCTGCCAAACCACAACAAAATAATGTTTGTGCGTATCATAGATAGATAATGGAGAGAAGGAAGAAGAGTTTGACAAGGGCGGGTGTACTTACTTTTGGGAAACAAATTCCCTGAGTAGATAATTTAAATGCTGATGCGTTGTTCTTGTCCCTGCTGCTGCTGCTGCTTTTGTTGACACTTAATTATCTGCCTGTCTGTCTGCCGTGAAAACACACACACACAACACGGTCGGTTTGTCATAGAAGCTTAAATAGAGTGAGGAAATTGCTGTTGACGGTTATATTTGAAATAAAAACAGAGGAATGTGTGAATAATAATAATAATATTAATTAATTGTTTATTAGTAACTATGTAAATATGGGGTCATCGTGGTGTCAAATTCATTGAGACAGTAGATAGGTATGAAGAATTTAAATTCATTTAGATTGAAATCTATGTAGGTATGACATTGTAAACATATTTTATAGAACGTTTACATTGCCATGATTTTGGTTCAGGGGTTTTTAAGAGCATATACCACGTTGTTTTAACGTTGTTTTAATTTAAAAACCATAAAGGGATTAAGCCTGACCATTTTGCAACAACAACAAAAAACAGTAATGAAAGTCTTAAAGTAGTGCAAGGCCGACTATATCCAAATATTTGATGTATTTCCCTGAATATCGTTTATACAGAGTGCATATTATGACAGGGTGAGATAAAAAATACAGGGTGAGATAAAAAAACACAGTCAAACGCCATAATTTTTACATTTTTTTTAAATTTTATTAAATGAAAAAAATGTCGGAAATAGCATCAAATTTTAGAATAAGTTTAGATTTGTTCGAATTGGTCACGATTTGGCACGAATTATGGCCCATTCCCGGCGAAGCGCTTGCTTGTGGTGATCGACACTTTAGTAGTTTTTAGTGCCAACATTGCTTTCCAAAATACTCCAGACACAATTGTCCAACGGATTGGTATCCGGAGATTTTGGTGGCCATTGTGCACTGGAAATGAAGCGAGGAAACTCATTTTGTAACTATTCTTGGTTGGCGCATGCTGAGTTCGATGGAGCTAAGTACTGTTTGCGTGTCGTCCAAGGCTTTAATACACACTCCCGAATATTTTCGCGATAATATACGGCATTTATTCTGATGCCACGGTCGATTAATACGAGCGGAGAACGACCTTCGGCTGTTATGGCGGTCCACACCATCACCATGGCCGTCGCTTGAGTTCTGGTGGCCACTCGAAGGTGCACATTTTTAGCTGACCTCTTTGGCAAGTAAATACGATCATTCTCTTGGTTTACAAACTGCTGGACAACAAATGTTATCTCATCGGAGAAAACCGATTTCGGCAGTTCACAAAATGACAGGGTCGAGTTCGTCAAAAAAAAAAGGGTTGCCATATAAAATTTAACAAAAGAGTTTGTCATGGATATTACATTTATTTTTTTTTATTATTTTTTAAACAAAATAGATGTCGGATTTCTTGCCGATCAAAATAATAAAGTGCATAGACATCTACCACAATAAAAAGGGTACAGAAGAACAGTTATAAACTATAAAACTTTAGACGTAAATCATCTGCTTGTATTTTTTAGTAACGCAAAATTGATATATAATTTTTTTATTGAAATATGGTGATAATATGTCAATATTTATTCTCTAAGATCTTGTTTAAAACCCATAAGATAAGGGCTTTGCTCAAGTAATGATAACATTTCATTTCTAACCACACTGGAAGGCCGAGATGCATCTACAAAAATTGTTTCATGGCGTCTGAGGAGGTATTCCTCTATTTCACTACAATGGCGATTAAAATAACGCATCTGAATATATAACAAAACATAGTTAGGTTTTAAAACTGAGCTGGTTTGGTTGTTTACCTACCTCTTCTTCATAATAGTTACAATTCATTTGAGGTTGTCCCAAATTTGGCATATTTATAAGTCTCAGCATGCACACCTTCTCGGGACATTTTAAATATACCAATTTATTGGGTGGTATTTTAAAATGTTCCATTATTTCCTTAAAATCTGTCAAGCCATTGGGGAAATTTATCAAAACCCAACCGCGACTCAGGCAATCATATTCCAATAAACGTCTTGCAATAATACTGGCTAATGCTTTGGATTTCGCCTCACAGTTATCATAATAAAATGCTCGTTGTAACTCCCGAGCCAGAGGATCATTTGGTTCCTTATCATCTCCTCGAAGATGTTGATATATTAGATTTTCCCCATCGACTATTATTAATATTAAACATTAGAATAATTATTATAATCTTCAAATTTACACAACTTACGTAAGACCAAATTAAAACGTTTAACTAAATATTGGGCCTGGGTCTTACATCCGGAGCCAGGACGGCCAAAAATTACCACTCGATACAGAAAACGAGATGTTAAATGTAAATTTGCTATATACCCACATTTTCCATGATTCAAACAATCTTCATAAATCTCTGAGGCAATACGTTTAATATTTTTTGCTATCCACATCTGGACATTGGGAGGACGCTCCAAGGCACACTCCACAAGAATTCTCTAAACATTTAACCAATTTTAACCGGAGTTAGAAAAAGAAACTTTGACTTACCTTGGAAATTTCAATTAATTTATGCTTTTCAAAATAAACCAATATCTCGGCGGCCAATTCAATTAATTTGTAATTATTTTTATCCACAATAAATGACATTTTTGCAAAAAAAAATGGGATGAAAAATTAAAATTTCCAATTCAAACTTCAAAGGAGACATAAATAGACATGGGTGGATGCTTAAAATTTAACGGAAATATGTTTTGCCTTTAGTAGTATTTACACAGTACATGTTTTTAAAAAGGCGTTGTTTAGGTTGTCAATTTCTTGAAACATACTTCAAATAAATGACGAATCTTCGTAAAACGCATTATTTGGCTATAGTAATTTAATTTATTGATTAAATGATGTTAACATATAAAAATCTAGCAACTTTCATTTGTTAACTTTATTACAAGTCAATTAAAATCTGGTGGATTTCGGTTATGGCATGGTAGAAGAATATAGGTAAACGCGTCGACACAGCTGTTGGGACAATGAACTGTCAAATCAATTTTGGAATCGAAAATGTTGAATGAAAAATTATTTAAATTTGTAAAAATTATTGAAAAACGCGAATTATAATAACCTCCGAATGACGTCGTATAAGAAAACATATAAAAATCTACTTATATTTGAAAAAAACATTTAAAATTTTTTGACATATCAATGCTCCCAAGCGTTGATGCATCTACCTGTATTCTTCTGCCATGGGTTATGGGGTATATCAAATTAAATAGAATATTTAAATCCACTAGATTTATTATACGTAAACATAATCATGGTAAAAGAATACGGGTAGACGCATCGATAATTTTGTAATTGAAATTTGAATGAAAAGTTATTCAAATTTGTAAAAATTGTTGAAAACGCATATCATAATAACCTCCAATTGACATCGTATAAGAAAATATATATAAATCCATGGTGCAATGAATACAAGGTAGGCTACTTTTGAAAGAATTGCAAGTATAGAGGTCTACCTGTTTGGCTTGTAATGTCAGAATTACTATCAAAACAATAAAAAAACAAACAACTTGTTGCATTGATTTTGAATAAATAATTTAAAACCGCGAAAACTCAATGAAAGGTCAACATTTCTTTTCAAAATCATGTTCTATATGTCTCTTATGGTTTATTTCGTGACAAAAATTGTAGATTTTGTCGATGCATACGTCGCAATAAGCATTTTGAAAACACCCGAATTTGAATATTTTCTGAATAATTTTTTTATTATTGAAAAGAATACACACACATAAACAAATGAAGGTGACATATAAAGCCAGAAAAATAAAAAAATTAAAATCATATGGTAGTTCTACCCTACCTTTAATTCATTGTACCATATATAAATATCCTTATTTTTGAAAAACATTAAAACTCAAAAAATATTGACATATCACTGTTCCCAAGCTTTGATGCATCTACCAGCATTTTTGTTACCATGGATACAATTATTTGCTTTGTTACAGAAAGTGCAAAAATCTACTAGTTTTGTATGTTTTTTGATATCATAAAGGAAAACCTGATTATAGGTCCCATGATATAATAAGGAGGTAGAACTTCGTAAAACTACAGAAATACAGCCCTGAGGCTATGCCCGCTTTCTGTCGAATTTGCATGAAGCAAATTGTTTCCATTTATTCAATATTATTCCTCATTTTTAAAATCACTTAAAGAGCGGGAAAATGAATGAAATGCCCGGATTTTTTTTTATCAAAAATATGATCTAAACAGTTCTATCTTACAATTTCATGGCAAAACTGTCAAATAGCTTTAATGCCCGTCTCGCAATTTACGCGTCTTCCAATCATTGATTTTGAAAATATCTTGTTTTTAGTTTTCAAAACAATAACAAAAACTAACAGTAATTCCATATTGGATTCCATTTTTCCCCATTTGTCAAATATATAAAACAATTTTTCTTTGTTATTAGTGTATTTGAAGTTACAATATATCAGATTCACAGTTAAATACTTCAAATTTCATTTACCTGCCCTGTTTTTTAGTTACATTTTATCTATCACATGTATCATTCATATTTACTTGGGGCAAAAATCGATCTATGGAGCACTTTTTTCTCTTGTCTGGTTTCTTTTTTGTTACTTACTATATTTTTGTGTGAAGAAGCAAACATTTAGATAAAATAAACTTTACCCTTCAGTATATATTTCGAAATTAGGGAGTTTAATAGATGAAGGAAATATCTTCATATTTCGCTGTTTCTTCGTATTTGATAGAAGAAAAACGATTTTTAGAACCCTATGTTTTAAATTCCAATTAGACAGTGGAAGTTTCATGTGAAAGTAAAGCAGAGGTGCTCAAAACCGTGTTCTAGAACATGAAGAGAAAAAAGAGATAATTTAAGAGAAAATTAAAATTCTGTTTTTCTTTATATTTTACGGTTCTATTTAATTGTTTTTAAATACGAATGTTTGCCAAAATAATTTATAAAGCAAATGGATAAAAAATATTTGTATAAATAATGACTTAACACTGTTTTGTTCTTGATTTAAAAAAGCAAAGAGAAGTTTGACTGAAAAGAGATATTTCTTCTTGAGCACCCCTGAAGTAAAGTATATTGTGGCAAAGTTTCTCTCTCCTTCTAATTCACCCACACTTGCGGTTTCTTTCTCATGAAATTATTGATATCTGACCAGCGCATGCGAGTTGATAACACTAAACATTCCAAAGTACATTGACGGTAAGAATGGCACTGATACCGCCCGTTACACGACTATCCTCTTCCATTATAAGGATTTTGGGATGCAATCCCGGGCCGATGACATTGCAAGGAACCAACACCTATCTGGTGGGGACGGGTAAAAGGTAAGATGTTTAATTTACCACTGCTGCAAAAGGCGCCAATAAAAACCATTCCCTTGTAGACGTATATTGATAGATACTGGAGACCCCGATGTACCGGAATATATCAAACATCTTAATGGGGTGTTGAAAGAAGAAAAGGCTTCCATTGGTACCATTTTGCTGACTCATTGGCATCATGATCATGTTGGTGGCGTTAAAGATGTTTTGAAAACATGCGCCGATAAAGGTAACTATTTTATAACATCTTGAACGAATTTATGATCATTACTTCATTTGTCTTTTTGTTGTGGTATCAACGGGTTCATTTTATCTTATTTATAGCGCTTTTGTTTTTTTTTCATAATTTTGTATATTTAAAGTAAATCTTCATAAAGATTGCCAGGTATTTAAATTTCCTCGCACGGATGCTGAAGATGTGTGCCCTGAAATACCAAGTGACATTAAAGTAGAAAAGTTGCTGGATCAACAAGTTTTCGAGGTGGAAGGTGGTAAAGTGAAAATCCATCACACACCTGGTCATACCACAGATCATGTGATTCTAACAACCGAGGAGGGTACTTTGTTCAGTGGCGATTGTATATTGGGTAAGTAGAGGGGCTTTCAAAACGGAAAGTATTCTAATGAGTTTTTATTTTAGGTGAGGGCACCGCAGTCTTTGAAGACCTTTATGACTACATGAAAAGCTTAGACAAAATCCTCAATATCAAACCCTCTGTCATCTACCCCGGCCATGGCAATGTAATTGAAGATCCCTTGGAGAAAATTAAATACTATATCAATCATCGAAATCAGCGGGAACAACAAATCTTCAATTGTTTTGTCGAGCACAAGGATAAAAAAATGCAAGCCATGGATGTGGTAAAAATTGTCTACAAGGAAACACCCGAACAGCTCTGGCCTGCTGCAGCCTACAATGTTAGCCACCATTTAACCAAATTACAAAAAGAGGGAAAACTGCAAATGTTGCCAAATCCCGACAATGCTGATGACAATTTTTATGTCTTCCAAAAGTCGAGCAGCTTGTAAACTATATGGGAATTAAATTTCTTAAATAATAAGTTTTATGTTTTATTTCTGTTTAACAAAAAAGTGTGATTATAATAAACTAACGTAGAGCAAAGCAAAGCCTGGCATTTAACTATTCCTCTGGCTGAAATGTTATGGTTTCATCTTTGAAATTGTGTACGGCATCAAACCATATGTCATCGGGGCCTTCCAGTGTTTGATCGAACATGGTGGGGAATGGTGGTGCTGTTTTGTGTTTACGCAGTGGCAAAATTGTATCGTAAATATAGACAAGGCCATTGGTGGAGCCGGGAATGGCACTACCGCTAACCCACATGACATTGTATTTGGTATTTATGCGCCAGATACGCAGACCCTTGGAAATGCGCCATCTGTTGCCCATGTGACCGGGAAGTTTGGTACCCGGCCAAACACGGCCCTTTTCACCACCACCACCAATGTTACCGGGACGACGATGGGTTTTGGTCACACCATGAGAAGCAGGCATACCCTTGAAGCCGTGACGTTTAACCACGCCTTGGAAACCATGATCGACACTACGAGAATAAAAAATGTTAATGTTTTAAAAGTAAGGTATCATTTTATGATACTCACGTCTTCCCTCTAACATCTACATAATCTCCCACCCTAAAATGTGTGACATTCAAGGGTGTTCCCACAGGTATGGCAGCATTTGGGCTAACCAAGAAACGTACTAAATGTTTCTTGGGCAATAGACCGGAATCCTTGAAGAGGCCACAATATTCTTTGGTTAGTGTGGAGGGATCACAGCTTTCGGCACCCACCAGCAAACAGCCATAGCTATTCAATTTGGCCACACTTGGCACTTGGGCTGGCTTATACAATTCCGGTGGTATATACTTAACGACATGATTATCAACAATTTGCAATAGGGTGGTGCGTATTCTTTCACCATTCTTCAACCACAAAGGATATTGACCAATTTTACGGGCAATTACACCGGTGCGCCGAGAAGCCGTTGTCCAGGGTTCACTTTCAATTTTCTCCGTTTTAACCAATTCTTCGCGTTTGCTTTGATCATATGTGGCTACACCTTTTATGAGAGCTGGAGGACCATATTTATCTTGTACGATTTCCTGAACAAATGATTTGTTTTCCGACGTGACATGGTTATCGCGCATCTGTTTGGGGAAGGTTGGGTTTTTATTGGTTCATGAATTTAATTATGAATGTGTACTAAATACCTTGCGCTCTTTGCGTAGAAACCATGTTGGATTCCTTAGATGCGGTCTACTCAATTGACCCTTTTCGCGCACTTGTGTAACAGCCAGTGGAGTAAGCCTTTGCATGAAACAAAACAAAAATTGAGGTTAGAAGTATCTCTTTGATTTGATGTTGATTTTTTGTGTTTTAACTGGCCTTACCTAAGTCGACCTAAATCTAAAATTAATGATTTAATCATTTTATATCCGTTTTATTTTAATAATTTAAATAAAATGCAATACTTTTTTCGTTTTGAGGTGAATTGTCTGTGCCACCTCTCTGCCTGCGTTTGTTTTCATGTGCAGCAGTGACAGCAAAACAGCTGTTTTGTGGTATTTGTAGGTCATGGTAACCCTAACGGTTTGTTTGTTACATTCACAGGGATATGGCAACGATTTAAATAAAAATGCCTTCTTTGAATAACGAGTGACACCAATTTTGTCATTGGGATAACAGATAAAACTTGTTTTTTTTTTGTGAAAGGAATAATTGGGTCTGCTGAATTATCTGGGGACTCCCAATTTATTCCTTAATACCAAGCTATTTTATTTTCCTGCATTTTTATGTGCAGCAGTTATAGCAAGGCAGCCGTTGTTGGTTTCTGTATTTGTTGGTTATGGCAACTCTGACATATGGTTTGTTTATGTTACATTCTCTGGCATATGGCAACGATTTAAATGACAAATTGAAACCTTCTTCTTCGACGGGCGAATTTCTTTTTGGAACAAATTGGGTGAATTGGATACCAGATAGAGCTTGACTTTTTGCAAACGGAATAACCTGGGGACTTGAATTTTATTACTTATTGCGAAGGAAATTGATTTGATATTGAGCTGGCCCGAAACAAACTGGAATATATAACGTAATTGTATTAGCAAATTCTGTTCACTTCCCCCGATGGCAGGCATGGACAATTATTCAACATTAATGTAAATTTCCGCAAAAACAAACTAAAATCACATAGAAAAAGAAATAAAATTTGTAACAAAAAACCACTTAAAGGTACGGCAGTAATAAAAAACCAATGGAACCCGGTGAAGATATGACTGACCAAAGGCCAGAGCGTCCACGTAATGTCTATGGTCCATATGCGGGAGATTTTGCTTCAGCAAGCAGCGGTATGCCATATCCAAGACAATCTCAAATGCAGTGAGTAGCTATTCCATTGACCATATTTTTTGAATTAATCACATCCGTTTCCTTACAGATTTCAATTAAATGACGACCAATATCAAATTTACATGGCCAGCATGAATTCTGGACCTGACTCGGGACTGAAAAATGTCAATTCTGAAAGGGACTTGTCCTTGCCAATTGAAAAACATCATGCCTTGGAAAATTTCTATGACAGCCAAGAAGATGGTAAGAATCCAAGACAAAGTTATGTGACTTTTGTTGTTTTTTTCTTTTGTTTATGCCTTGTTTTGTGTTATTCATTGTTGTTACATACCACACACAACCCTTGCTCCCCTGTTTTAGAGTATCCTGAGCAGCACACTGTAACGAATTTGTTAAGTTTTGACGATACGAAAAGTATGTAGCCATCAAATGTTTCTTTTTGTACCATAACATGCATGTTCTTCTACTTCATTCTTTGGTTTTATATCCAAAAAAATTCCAATACTAAATCTGTTGTCAAGTAACAATGTATATTAAATTGTAGTAATTTAATATCTTTTCTATTATTTAGAAATATCAATACGTAAATATTTGGGAATTGGTGTTCAATGGGTTAGCTTGGTTACCGAAAACCTGCTCTCACATCCTTTTATTGTACTGAGACGGCAGTGTCAAGTATACAATGCCTCACAAAGGTAAATATACAGCATCTGATTTTTTTCCTCTTTGAGTCTAAATCGAAATCTCCTTTATTTCTTTCAGATACCATCTGCATCCTTTTGCATTAATGCCTTCCATAATACATTTACACAGACGCCAGGGGGTGACAACCTTATGGAAAGGCCTGGGAAGTTGCCTATTGGTACGAGGCATGTCCCTGGCAATGGATGATGTTATTTCCAAAGTTACTTCATGGCCTAAGTAAGGTGTTTTGAAACAGAAATTAGACAAAAATAATAATTTCTATAATTTACAGAGAGGTAGATAGCCGTACTTCCTTAAAACGTTTTGGCCAACATGTTATACTGAAATGGTAAATCTGCTAATATGGTAAAGGTAAATTTATTAATGAATTTCCTTCCGCTTTGTAGCATTAGCATTGCTGTTGTAATGCCTTTCTATGCAGCCTCATTGGTGGAGAGTGTCCAAAGTGATATAGCTAGTGAAAAGCCTGGTCTCTTCGATGTCTTTCGTGAGGGTAGTCTGCGTTTGTTGTATTGGAAATCACCGCAAAAGGGTCGCATGCTACCCGTGTGGTGTCTAATTGGTCCCACAGTGGGCGTTGGCATAACAAAATACTTGTTTGGGTAAGAGGAATAACCCTTGAAAAGAGGAGTATGAAATTAACCTAAAACTTGACGGTTTTAAATTGGTAACAAAATTTCTAAATTTTTTATTTGCTTAAAAACTCTAACGAAATTTCATAAAGAATATTTTCGCCTTCAGCACCTTCCCTAAAAATGTATGTAATGGCAAATTTGGGCAATTTTTGGGAAGACTCCAAAATAACCTAAACTACAGGATGAATAGCAATTCAAAATAACAATTTTCAGGTTAATTATGGTATTTGGAAATTTCTTATGTTTGGTGACCTATGGCCAAATTTGGTGTAGAATATAGTCTCCTTTATCAACATTCTTCTAAAGTTTAGAATTTTGGGAGATTTTGACAGTTTTTGAAAAATTATAAACTAACCTAAAAGTCCAGATGCATAGCAATTTGAAAACAATTTTTTTTGGGTTAAATATGACATTTGGAAATTTCTTATGTTCGGTGACCTATAGTCAAATTGAATGTAGAATAAAGTCTTCTTTGTCACCATCTTTCAAAAATAAAGAATTTCAGGAGATTTGGCAGTAGTTAAAAAAGTCTCAAACATACCTAAATAAGTAGTGGCATAGGAATTTGAAAACAATTTTTTTGGGTTAAATATGACATTTGGAAATTTCTTATGTTCGGTGACCTATGGCCAAATTTGGTGTAGAATATAGTCTCCTTTATCAACATTTTTCTAAAGTGTAGAATTTTGGGAGATTTTGACAATTTTTGAAAAATTGTAAACTAACCTAAAATACCAGATGCATAGCAATTTGAAAACAATATTTTTTGGGTTAAATACGACGTTTGGAAATTTCTTTTGCTCCGTGACCTATGGTCAAATTTGATGTAGAATAAAGTCTTCTTTGTCACTATCTTTCAAAAATAAAGAATTTCAGGAGATTTGGCAGTAGTTAAAAAAGTCTCAAACATACCTAAATAAGTAGTGGCATAGGAATTTGAAAACAATTTTTTTGGATTAAATATGACATTTGGAAATTTCTTATGTTCCGTGACCTATGGCCAAATTTGGTGTAGAATATAGTCTCCTTTATCAACATTTTTCTAAAGTGAAGAATTTTGGGAGGTTTTGACAATTTTTGAAAAATTGTTAACTAACCTAAAATACCAGATGCATAGCATTTTGAAAACAATATTTTTTGGGTTAACTATGACATTTGGAAATTTCTTTTGCTCGGCGATCTAAGGGTAAATTTGATGTAGAATAAAGTCTTCTTTGTCAGCATCTCTAAAAAATGACGAATTCTAGGAGATTTTGGCAGTATTTGAAAAAAAATCCCAAACATATCTAAATTAGTAGATGCATAGGAATTTAAAAACAATATTTTTGGGTTAAATATGACTTATGGAAATTTCTTTTGTTCGGTGGCCTATGGGCAAATTTGATGTAGAATATAGTTTTCTTTGCCAACATTCTTACAAAGTGTAGAATTTTGGGAGATTTTGACATTTTTTGGAAAATTGTAAACTAACCTAAAATACCAGATGCATAGCAATTTGAAAACAATATTTTTTGGGTTAAATATGACCTTTGGAAACTTCTTTTGTTCGGTGACCTATGGTGAAATTTAATGTAGTATGTAGTCTTCTTTGTCAACTTTCTTCTAAAGTTAAGAATTTTGGTAGATTTCGGCATTTTTTGGAAAAATCCCAAACTAACCTAAAATACCAGATACAGCATAGCAATTTAAAAACAATATTTTTGGGGTTAAACATGATATTTGGATATTTCTTTTGCTCCGTGACCTATTGTCAAATTTGATGTAGAATAAAGTCTTCTTTGTCACCTTCCTTCTAAAATGACGAATTCTAGGAGATTTTGGCAATTTTTGAAAAAGTGCCAACATAACCTAAACAAAATTCTTCGATGACCTAAATCCATTGTTGAATATACATTATCCCTTCACTCCAATCACTAAAAATGTGAAAGGATGGAGATTTTGTCAATTTTTTTGAAAAGTATCAAACTTAAAATAGCCCCATAATAGGTTGCTTTAAGAAATTTAAATTGTTTTTTTTTTTTTTTTTTTTGTTGTGGTTTCAATAATAATTGTGGTTTTGTTCTCTCTTTTCAGTTTGGTCATTAAAGGCATTTCATCACGCATCATGCGTCGACGCATTCAACAGGCCCAAGAACGTAAGGGAGCTAAATTTAAAGATGACTCACTCGAAACACAAAATGTTGAAATCTACTCGAATCTTATATCGATGCTGACAACAGAGGTTATATTTTTCCCATTGGAAACAATTTTACATCGCATTCAGCTGCAGGGTACACGTACCATCATTGATAATCTCGATAATGGCTATGCCGTGGTACCCATCCTAACCAACTATCAGGGAGCCATCGATTGCTATCGCACCACAGTGGCAACGGAGGGCTTTTCTGGACTGTATAAAGGTTTCGGTGCCATTGTATTACAATTCGCAGCCCACATTGCTGTCATCAAACTAACCAAATGGGTTGTTAATCAAATAACGGAAGTTATATCCAGTCGTCCTCCACAAAAAGTTGTACAATATTATAATTTAGATCGTGGCATGAATTCGAATTCAACAACGATATCGCGTAGCCTAAGTTCCGGTAGTGATATGGATGAGAATAGTGTGGGAAATCGTTCGATTGACTAAATTCGATAGTGGTTTTATTAGCAATGCGAAAAAACTCTTCTGTATATTTAATGGCTATATATTTTAGTTTCTCGCTCAACTGGAATACGGGCGTGGGAACATGCATGTTTTTGTTTTGTTATTCTCTCTTTTTTTTTTCTAAATAAGGTATAAACAAATCTTGAGTTGTACTGTGATACTTCCGTTACCACATGATTATTAAAGAACCCCTTCCAAGAACATGACCCCCAACATTTTTTTGTAAATGTTAATAATATATTTTTTGGCCAAACTGTTGTTAACCCTACTAACAAAAAAAAAAAGAAAACTTATTTATTTTCCCGTAAATAAACAACAAATTTAATGAAAAATATAAAACAATTTCCTCTAAATATTTTTTTATTTATAAAAATATTTTATAATTTACATTTTCATTTAAAACTTATCTAAGATTATTTAATTTTTTTGTAAAACCTAAAGAAACAAATTTCTAAACTATTTACGACCCTTCTTTCCTTTGCCCTTTTGCTTTTTATCCTTGGCCCTCAGCGCACGTTTGTCCTTCTTTTCACGGGGATCTACAACCTTATAGCGACCCTTGACGCCAGCCGGCCGTTTGGCCCGGCGACCTGTTTGATGTTTCTTGGCCACAACATAGGTGACTTCCTTCTTTTTCTCTTGGGCCTTTTTGTAGATCTTCTTGATTTGTCGCACCTTTTCTTGATTTGTGGCATCGGGACTGTCCATAATTTTCTCAGCCATTTTCTTGGCCTTGGCCAGACGTTTGACAGCACGTCTGCGTTTGCGTGCCTTTGCCTCCATGACCTTTTTAATTGGTCTGACATTAAGTTCCTGCACCTTGCGCTGATATTCCTCTTGCAGTTCTTTGGGCACGGGCGTGGGTTTGGTCATGTGCACCTGTTCATCTTGTACAAACCAGGAGGGTAGATTTTCATCATTGAAAGCATAACGATTCCAGGCACCATCAATGAGGTCTCTTCTCGTTTTCTTGCCCTTGATCATCATGGCACCCAGAGCCAACTCCTCCTCGGAGAGGCGTATCTTTTTGGCTTTAGGTTCCTTGGACATATCGCCTGCGACTTTTTCCTCATCATCCTCATCTACTTCTTCCTCGGAATCACTCGACGACTCTGAGGAGGAAGATTCTTCTTTTGCCTCGGCATGTCGGGCCCTACGTTTGGCTTTTTTACCCAACAATAAATTGGAGGAGCTGGCCGAATCCTGGGTTTCTCCCAACACTGTAACGCCTTTATTCTTGTACTCTGTGGCCAGGCGATCCAAATCGAAATTTTCATCATCGTCATCATCATCGAGATTTTGTAGATTCTCCTTTTCATACCACAGCTGGACTCTTTGTTGACGTTTGGTATCCTTGTCACGGAAATCACTGGATTTGATCAGGGGATGTTCGGCCTTCTTCTTTTTCTTTTTGTTAACAGTTTTGTTTGGGTCTTTTTCCTCGTCATCACTTAATCCCAAACCTTCCTTTTCCATATCACTTTCACTTTCCTCATCTTCAGAGATTTCCGGTTCATCATCATTTTCATAGTTGCCATCATCATCCAAACGTTTGTCATCTTTGTCGTACCTTAAAGAAGAGAACAACAAAGTAAAAAAGGATTTTTGTCGAAAAAATGGGAATACCTACTTTTTATATTTTGGCAATTTGGGCATATCCGTTTCCTCCGCTTCCACCTCAAAATCTGGCACCACATCCAACATCTCATCCAGCTCTTCTTGGGTCTTGACCTCCTTCAAATCGAATATCTCCTGATCGGCCTCTTCCTTGGGACCATCATCGCCTTTTATGACCATTTTCAAGTTCATTTTCTCCTGGAGTTTTGCCTTGGCCTTCAGGGTTTTCTTCTTTTTACGTTTCAACTCCTTTTCCTCCTCTTCAGCCAAATCATGGATTTGTTTTTGCAATTCTTCATCTTCCATATCTTCAATTTCTTCTTGAGTCAATGGTCTAGTGATGGGGGCCTCCTCCTCTTCCTCAATGACAGTGGTCTCGCCTTCTTTGAATAGCTCATCTTTAATGGCTTTCCACCAAGCCAAAAGGCCTTTGATATCCTTGCGGCCCAAAACCTTAATATCCTTACAACATTCCAAAATTTCCGCTGTGGTCTTGGGATGTTCAGCAATGCGTTTATCATCAATTGTGATCGAGCCAATACCTTGCAGGGCTGCCAAACCATTTTCACTTTTCATGAATTCCGTGGCAGGCAAATCATTGCGCAGAGCAATATCACTCTCAGTGTAACCCTCGGCCTTGATGCGTTTTTGTTTTTCAGGATGCAGCAGACTGACCTTCTTGCCGCCCTCTAAATCAAGTTCTTCGAAGACATATTTGGGATCCAACAACTTGGGATCAATGCGATCGGGGGCCAAATAACCTTGGCAAACCACGAAAATTTCAGCAGACTCCTTACGTGAGGCACTGGGCTTGGTGGCATGTACCTTCTTGAACAACTGTTTGAGCACCCACAACAGGGCATTGTAATCCTTCGATCTGAACACCTTGGTGACAAACCAACCGCCACCACGCAAAAACTCGGTGGCCAATTTCAAGGACATCAATGTCAAACAGATCTGCTGATAGGCATCATGCAACCAATTACGACCCACATTGGGAGCACCATCGTGCAACACAACATCGGCCTTCCACGATTGCAACTCTTTGGTCAACGATTGACGACACTTTTCTGTGGTAATATCTTCCACTAAACTAATACATCCAGGAATGGCTCGAATGGGAAACAAATCGACACCAATAACAATACTCGACACGGGCATGTTATGTTTGGCCACCTGCATCCAACCACCGGGAGCAGCACATAAATCTATGCATACTTGAGATTGCTGGAGAAAACCAAATTTACGATTCAATTGTATCAATTTGAAGGCAGCACGGGAACGATAACCTGGAACGGGCAATTACTTTAGTTTAACTATGGAAAATGGTTCGAAAACTTATGATCATACCTGTTTCTTTGGCCAACTGATAGAACTTATCTTTACGGGCTTTTCCAACTTTGGTCTTTTTACCCATGGTGTTTGTTTAGCTTTTTGTGGGTTCTAGGAATTATTTTCTCTTGGTTTTTTGTTAAAAAAATCCTCTTAAAACTATGAAAAATCAAAAAAATGCACCGATTAAATAAAAACGATGCGCCAGCACGTGTTTTTGCTAGAAGAGAAGGAGAACTGTAATGTTGTCAAACTCTCACGGTGGCGGCTGCTGTCACAACAATGAAAAACATAAGAAGAGTTGCCACAGGATCACATTGCATGAGTGTGTACGGCATTAGAACGGTTCACATTATGTTGTTCGTATTATGACTAGAAAAAGAATAACAGCAATTAAAAACTGTAGAAAAATATGTGGAAGACGATAAAAGGGAGATGAAAATATTTCGGTGTTTTATATATTAAAGGAAATTAACGAAAATAATGTACATTATTGTCCATTGATTTATTACTATTATTGTTTATTCACTAATTTAATTTAGTGTACTTGACATGAATTGCTATTGGCCATGTTGGCGTGTTTACATTTCTCAAAACTTCAAAGAAACTACAAAAATGCAACTCTGTGCTGGAGTTTCATAATGTCAAATAGACTTTTAAATATGCAACAGTTGGCTTTGTTTATTTTTAAATATTTTTTTATCCAAATTCTTAAATTTTGAAAAACTAGCGAAACAAGAATGGAATTTCGGGGTTATTTCTGAAATAGTAGGACAATATCGCTTCATACATTTTTTTTAAATTATATTGAATGGAAGCTAAATATGTCAAATTTTAAAAAAAGTTTAGATTTGTTCGAATTGGTCATCTTTGGCACGAATAATGGCCTCCAAACGGCCAATGAAACCGTCACTCGCTGCCCGAATGTTGCTCTGCGGTATTTTGGACCATTCCCGTAGAAGCGTTTGCTTAAGGTGATCGACACTTTAGGATTTCTTAGTGCCAACCTTGCTTTCCAAAATACTCCAGACATAATAGTCCAACGGATTGGTATCCGGAGATTTTGGTGGCCATTGTGGAGGCTGGAAATGAAGCGAGGAACCTCATTTTGTAACAATTCTTGGGTGGCGCGTGCCTGTGTGCGATGGTACTGAGTCCTGTTGGAATGTCCAATGTCTGCGGCCAAAATGTTTGAGTGCCCAAGGCTTTAATACACCCTCCAGAATATTTTCATGACACATGGTAGAAGAATACAGGTAGATGCATCAACGCATGGGGACATTGATATATCAAAAAAATTTAAATATCTATTCAAATATAAGTAGATTTTTATATGTTTTCTTATACGACGTCATTCGGAGGTTATTATAATACGCGTTTCCAACAATTTTTGCAATTTTCAATTAATTTTTCATTCAACATTTTCAATTCCAAAATTGGTTTGAAAGTTCATTGTCCCAGCAGCGGTGTCGATGCGTCTACCCATATTCTTCTACCATGAAATGACAGCAGTCTGAAGTTGGTTGTAGTTTTTTCATCTCACCCTGCATGTATACAACGCATGTCTTACGCTACGTTTATATGGAATATGTTTTTAAAAAAGATCATATCATCAAGTTTTATAGTTATGATATCCTGTTGGCAACCCTAGAAGATCCCGTTTATTAAAATTTCTCTGGTAATAATCCCTCATCCCAAGAACATTATTAAATACCTGTAGAATAAATGAAAAGACATTGATTTACGCTTAAAGGTCATACAATTTATGGTTTTATTTATTTTTTGTTTATAATTTTTATATTTTTTTTCTTATATAAATCGTTAACATTTTTTTCTTTTGATTTATATGAAATTGTCTTACACAGTTATAGATTATATTACTACTGAGAGAGAGAGAGAGAGAGTGTGTGTTGGAGAGATTATAAAATTAAAAAGAAAAACAAAATTGTGAAAAATATTTACATAGACCATTCATTAAATTCTTTTTTTTTAAATAATCAGTTATGGGGGGGTGTGACCCATCATTGAGAGGAGATACAAAATATGTTGCATAATGTTATTCGAAAATCAAATTTCTAGCGTTTGATATCATATTCTTAAGTGGGGTGTAACTTGTTATTTATTATAATTTATTTTACTAAAACATAAAAAAAATTAATAAATATTTTTTTTTCAATTTTTTTTACTGCAGCATGAATTGGGGAATTTATTTTAGTATTTTTTTTTTTTTGATTTATAAAAAAACTGAGTCAACGATAATTAGTATTATGTAATTATTAAATTAGACAGCTTTACAAAAATTATTGCAAAAAATCTCTGTTTTTATACAAAGTCCATACAAAGTTTTGTATATTCTTGTTATTTATTGAATAGCAAAAGTAGAATCTTAAAATTAACCGGATTCTAGACAAATCAGAAGAAGGTAAATCCGTCAAACAAAAGCAAGTCCATGCTAGAGTTCACATGGTCGTTTGCAAGCACTTGTTGCAAAGTCAAAAGAATGTGTTTGTTTAGCTAAATAACTAGGAGTTTTTATTTTACAAAAGCTTCAGGAGGTATTTTACCCTCCTTGTGTAATTTATCAAAGACAAAAGCTGCATGATTATAGTCCCAATTGGTCTCTTCTAGACACCTGGAAAATGAGAAGAAAATTTGATTTTTAAATGGGTTTCAAAAATCAACAAAGATTACCACTTACTTTCTGCTCCATTCGATATTCATGTTGCTTTGGCTGCACATAGCCTGGACCATTTGCATTTTTGTTGCATCGTCTGGTTGGGTGGGTTGTGTGGGCTGGGGCATTAAACCGGCGGCAGCAGAGGTCTGGAAGAGAGGAAAATATACGAAAATAAATTAGCAAATAACTCTGACAATCAAATACTCTTTTCAAAGCCAAGGTATTTCAATTGCCTTCCTTATTAGTAAGGAAGCTTGAGATATTCATTAATTTCAAAAATTGATTTTTTTTGTGTTCTCAGGTTTCTTCTCTTCGTAAGGAAGCCTGAGATATTCATTAATTTCAAAAAAAAAAAAAAAAATTGCCTTCTCAGAGTTTTTTCCCTTCGTAAGGAAGCCTGAGGAAGAAACTTAATTTCTTACTCACCGATGGTTGTTGCATTTGTAAACGACTTTGCAGACTGCCTGCAGCTGTGGGCGGTAAACTTGTGGCAGGACCAGCTGCTGGTTCTGTTATAACTGGTGGCTTGAGGAAGGTACGGGCCTGTTGTCCTGTGGCACTTGTCACCAAAATCATTTCATTGCGTATACAAAAACCACCGCCAGCGGGTACAATCACAAATTGTCTTTGGAAATAGCGAATTTCGCCTGTGGTCGAGGTCGATGATTCAAACTCTTTGAAGAGACCGGCCACGGTGAAAGATATGAGTTTGGGCTGGAAAAAAATAGAAAATAAAATGTTATATTAATAATGAAAATGGAACATAAAATTTGAGGGTCTTGAGGTTTTTTTTTGGATTTCACAGTCCAACATCTGGCATTTTTGTGGGGTACCACCAGACAAATTTACAAAATTTTAAGAGGGGACATTGACGTTTTCTTATCATCCGATTCCATTCGAACTTGGTACATCTCAATATTTCCATAAACGCAAGCTCTGTTATAAAGATGGTAAAGATCGGACCATTCCTTCTGGTACCTCCCCCACAAAGGGTCAATGTTTTGAATAACAAAAACGATTATAAAATCCGAAATAAGCATCCGGTTCTCTTCATATTTCACACATCCTATTATTTCAACTAACACAAGATCTGCTATGAAGATGGGATATATCGGTCCACTCCTTCTGGTACCTCCCCCACAAAGGGTCAAAATTTTGAATATCCATGAAACTCATAAATAGCGAAATTAACATCCGATTCCATTCCATTCTTGGCACATCTCAATATCTCCATAAACGCAAGCTCTGTTATAAAGATGGTAGAGTTCGGACAATTTCTTCTGGCACCTCCCCCACAAAGGGTTACATTTTTGAATAACTAAAAAAATTATAAAATCTGAAATAAGCATCCGGTTCTCTTTATATTTCACACATCCTATTATTTCAACTAACACAAGATCTGCTATGAAGATGGGATATATCGGTTCACTCCTTCAGGTACCTCCCCCACAAAGGTTCAAAATTTTGAATATCCATGAAATTATAAATAGCGAAATTAACATCCGATTCCGCTCCAGAATTGGCACACCTCAATGTTTCTATCAAAACAAGATCTGGACAATATTGGTCCATTCCTTCCGAACCTACTCCATAGAGGGTCAACAATTTGAATAATCATAACAGAAGTCAAGATATATTTAAATAATCCAATATTGGCTGAGGGTATACATCTGTCGGCAAAAGCGACAGATACTTTTTTAGCTTTTTTTAACAGATTTCCCAAAGGCTATTCGGAAAAAATTTGGTTTTTAAAAAAACAGGACGTGAAATCTCCGAGTTTTTTTTTAACGAAAATCTTTCCCAATGTTCTGCCCTTCTTCTTCTTACTTACCGTAAACAGTGTCAAATCGACGGAAAACGATTGCGGATCATGCTGTGTCTTAGGCCATTCGGCCAGTGTTGAAACCACCTGCAATCGTCCCACCTTCAATTGACGCAATTTCGAGACATCTTCATTGTTGACAATGCGTCGGAAATTACGATTGTATTTCCAAAATGAAGTCAGACGGCCTGCCTGGCTGGCCGGTGGTACAGAGATGGACATCATAGCCTGTTCATGATATGCATCCAGCAGCGGTTGACGATTATCCGAATCGAATATAATGAAATATTGTTCCAAAAATTGGCGTATAATATCCGCACCGGAGGCATCGCATAAAAATGAAGCCTGCGCCTTGGGCATTACGGAACTGTCATTGACATCGAATAGAATTTGGGGTTCCAAGTCATCGCCGTCCTGAAATGATTATGGTTGTTGGTTTTTGATGTTGTTTCGAATTTGTTAGAAATTTTTTGAAAAAAAAATTATTGAAATCAAAATTTAATTTAATTAAAAAAAAAAAAACACTTACCAATTTAACTAATTTGGGGAATTTGCGTCTTACTTCGCTGTGAATTGGAAAAAAGGTGAATGTATAAAAGGTTAAGAGATGATTTGCATATGGAAATGGAAAGGCAAGATGAGGTTAAAGAAATAAATAATAAACATTGTTGTTGTAATTGAATTTTATATAAGACATTTAGAAATGGATCATAATACAGAAACTAATTTTTTAAAGAGAAAAATTTAATAAAAATAAAAAATAATAATTTAAAGAATTATAAGAAAAGAAATATCCCTTTGAGGTTTAATAATAAAAAAAATAACAAAACTAATAAAAATAACAAGTAAAAAATAATAAGAATAATAATTGAAAAACAACCTAAAAATACATTTTCTTTGAGTTGCACTAAAAAAATTCCAAAATTTTACATTTTTAAAAATGTCCTAATTTTATTTTTTTCTTTTTTAAAAAATTAGAATTTTTTATAAATAAAAAAAATATTATTTTTAAAAACGAACAACAAATATTTCATTTTTTTTAATTATTTAAATTATTTTAAAATATTAAACAAATATTTTTTATTATATATTTTCTTTAAAAAATTGAATATAAAATAATAAGAAGTTAAAAAAAACGTGGGAAATAAAATTTCATTGAGATGCATTAAAAAATGCAATAAAAATTTCCAAAATATCCCATTTTTTTAAATTTCCTATTTTTTGTTTTGGGAAAATTAGAATTTTTTGTAAACAAAAAAAAAAAATTATTAAAAAAAAAAAAACAAATATTACATTTTTTAATTTTAAAATTATTCTGGAATATTAAAAAATATTTTTTTTTATATATTTTCTTTAAAATTTTCAATAAAAAATAATAAGAAATTAAAAAAGAAACTCCTTTGAGACGTATTCAAAAACAAATGCATTAAAAATTTTCCAAAAGATCCTATTTTTTTTTAATGTCATAATTTTTATTTTTTTGGGAAAACTTGTATTTTTTATAAATAAAAAATTAATTAATTTAAGAAAGATACAAACAATATTAAATTTTTTAAAATTATTTTGAAATAATAAAAAAATATTTTTCAATATTATGTATTTTCTTTAAAAATGTTGTTAAAAAAACCATTAAGTTTGGACCGAACTTTTAATACCCTCCACCATTGGGTAAAGAAAACAATTTTTTATTATTTTAAGGACCGTAAGTGGGTGAGGCCGTTATGTGGGGCCATACCAAAACGGGAACACATATAGGCAATTTTATACTTCAAGGATTGTCATCTACCAAATCTTCTTAAATACCACATTTGAAATGATTTCGGGGGTATGACGCATGACTATAGGAAAACGTGGACCTATACATACAAAGTTTCGACACCTGAGCTAGAAGCCATTATGACCTACAAATAGCAATTTTTAGACAAGTCCGTGGAAAAATGTCAAAAATCATCGATATACCGAATATCGGGCGGTACCAATATATGGGGGCTATACCAAAACGTGGGCCTATATATGCAATGTTTCGCCACCGGAGCGAGAACCCATCATGGCCAACAAATACCAATTATTAGAGGTAGGTACCGTTATATGGAGGCTATACAAAAACGTAGACCTAAGCATACAATATTTCGCCACCGAAGCTAGAACCCATTATGACCTACAAATACAAATTTGTGGACAAATCCGTGGAAAAAAATTGGTGAAAATCAAAAAAAAAAATGTGCCAAATTTTGAAGCCCTACGTAAAATAATGTGGGCTGTATCGTAATTTCAATAGACAGACAGACGGACAACGTTAAATCGACTTAGATTTGTATGCTGATCATGAATATATATACTTTATGCGGTATACGACGAATATTTGGAATGTTACAAACGGAATGCCAAAGTTTATATAACCTACTTTTCAAGGTGGAGGGTATAAAAATAAATAAACTTCCATATTTTCAAAAGCATATTTTCTTTCCCATACATAATTCTGACGTTTAATGGCTTACAGATACCAAAAAACAACAAAAAGTTTTGATTTTTGGGTTCTCAGAGGAATTTTTTTTTTAATTGTTTTCTTGCACTTTCTATGTTTTCATGGAGGGCTAAATCCAGAAAACCTGAGCGCATACCCCTCGCAATTTGTTTCTTATGTATGACCTTTTATTCAATAGTAATTAGTTTGAAATACAATAATGCCTCAGCTCCAAAATGTCTTTAAAGATTTCAAAAAGGAAAAAAACCTATTTTTCCCGATTTTTCTTGTCTGTGTTCCCATGGTTCTACAAAACACTGACGTTAAATAGCTTACAGACTCCAGACAAAACAAAAAGTTCTGCACTAAAATTTTCAAGTTAAGTTGCAATATCTTCCCTTCTCATTTAGGCAATTTGAAATAAGAACATTTCCTAAGGAAACTTTCATTTGCCATATAAAATACATCTTATGGGTTTTCAGAGGAATATTCCGAATTGTATTCTTAAACTTCCCATCTTTTGATGGAGCGCCAAATACAGAAAACCTACTACTCGCAATTTGTTGTTAAAGGTAAAAAAAATTCCCTTTAGTTTCCAAAGGATGTTGATTCTCCCATGGGCCTACATAAAACTGTCGTTAAATGTCTTACAGATTCCAGGCAAAAAAAAAAAAAAAACAAAAAGTTCTGATCTAATATTTTGAAGTTAATTGTAATATTTTGCCTTTACATTTAGGCAATTTAAAATAAGAACATTTCATAAAGAAATTTTCCATATGAGAGAATTAAGACCGATTTAATTTTTTTAATGATTTAGCAAAAAAAAAAAGTAGTATTGAATCTTTTTTTTTTTTTTTGTTTTATATATATTTCGTGTTTATATTTCCATAATTCGAACCTTGGCTATTTATTGAGTTTCAAATTATGAATTTCAAGCGGAAAAATTTGTAATTATTGCTCTGTTCCAAGGCCTGCAAGAATCTACTAGTTTTGGATTTTTTTTTTTTGATATCATAAAGAGAAAATCGTTTATCGTAGTAAAAACTTTTACTTTCTTGCAGTTCTGGAACATACCATATATTTCCTTAGCGTGAGAAATTGCAAAAAGGTTTAAATTATAAAAATTTGATGGAAAAAAAGATATAGAGATCTACATAACTGTTATAACTTCTTTTACACTCAGTTGAGACTCCATTAACAGCTTGGATTCGAGTTCAGTGGATAGCTGATAAATTAAATATTTCCAAAAAAATAGGCATCAATTATCCAATATGTATTAAATGTTATAATAAAGAATCCAAAGACTCCATTATCGGCTTGGATTCGAGTTTAGGGGATAGCTAATAGATTAGATATTCCCAAAGCAAATCGATCACAGTTCTCCAATTTTTATTCAATGTTATAACACAGAATCCAAAGTCCATTATTTTGAAGACTCAACTGAAAAACGATAATTTTTTGTTTCATTAGATGTCAAAATCATCATAAAATACTGTATGTTATTTATAATAATTATAATAAAAAACAATTATTGAAAAAGCAAACACATTTTCATGATGTTGCAGCCTAATATTTTCAAGGCTTTGAAAAAAAATAATATTTTCAAAGGAAAAAAGAGATTTTGTTTTATATACATTTTGTTTTGTTTTTTTCTTTTTTTCATTTTCTTCCTTCGTTCAATTTTTTTGTTTCATTTTTTATATTTTCTTATTTATTTATTTTTTTTTAATTTTTTTTTTGGAGTAGCAATAAACTAGCCTTGTATTGGGATATCTTGAATATGATATCAATATATTTTATATAAATTGTTAATGCAATAGTTGTGTTTTCTTTTTACTTATTATTTATTATTATTTTTTATTTTTTAAATCAGTTAATAAATATAATTTTATTATTATGTGTCATATTTTTTAATTATTATTTTAGTATATACATTTTTACTTTTATGAACATATTTGTTATTTAATTATTTAATTTTTTATATATTAACTTTTTATTTTTTATATATTATTTAGATTTATTGTATTTTTCTAAATAACCATTAGCATTATTTAATAAATGTTTAATAATACTTTAACAAAAATGGTTATTGTTATATAAAAAAATACAATAATCGAGCGATGTTCTAACAAGATTATGTGCACTTCTTGTCCATATATATAATTTTATTTATTATTTTTTATCAATATTATATTTATATATTTATATTTCTTTAATTTATTTATATAATTTGTTGTATTTTTTATTTTTTATAGCTTCATATTTTGAATTTTATTCAAACTTTTTTAATTTTTATAAAAATGATTTTATTTTTATACTTTAATATATATATTTTTTTTTATTTTTAATTTTTTTTATTTTTATATTTTTTTATTTTTATATTTCTTTTATTTTATATTTTATATTTTTTATTTTTATATGTTTTTATATTTTTTTTTTTTTTTATATTTTTTATAATTTTTATTTTTTACACAGTTCCCTTGCAGGTTTAAGATATGTTTTAAGATTGTTTATTTGGTGTATTTTCTAAACCTTTAAAAAAGGCCAGAGCTGGCACACCATATTTTCCAATCTCTTTTAAAAACATGGAGGTAAAGGGAAACTGTTTTTTAATTTATCCCAAAACATGTAATTATTTTGGGAATTTATTTGCCCGCCTTGAGGTTCAAGTTTCAGCACTTGTGCAGTGTTTTTTTTTAGAATATCCCAAATAAAAATTTTGAGATATCAACACCATAAACACAAAATGCTTTAAAAAAACTTTTATTCAAAGAAACCACACAATAAAATTGTAAGTGGTTCTATTAGGAGATGGCGGCATTGGAACACGTTTTTATGGATTTATATATATATATATATATTAAAATTTATAGACAAAGAAAACACAAAAATGCTTGAAAACATTTTTAAATTGAAGGTTTGGAAAATGCCCATTTCTTGCCACTCAAGTTTAATTTTTTTTCTGTTTTTTTCCTCTTTTTTATTTTTTTTTTTTTTCATATTTTTTATTTTTGTTTTTTTTTTTTTTTACGAAAATCCCTTTAAGCCTTTTAAGGGTATCCTCATTATCGACACCCATAATCAATTAGGAGAAAATGTTTATGCTTTCTAAATAATATTTAAAAATTATAACAGTTATGTACCTCTTGAGTTCAGATAAACGTTTCCACTATAAATATAAGGTATTGAAAAAATATTCTTAAAAAAATAAACTTTTTGTTTCCTTTCATGGAAATCTGTAACCAACATACATCGAGAGATAGAGCAAAATGCACAAAAATAAAGCTAAAATCTTGCGAGGGCTAGTTTTCCATTACCATGGTTCTTCTGGAAAAAAGTTTCAGTGTGGATAAGGGTATCACAATTCGAAAATATAACCAAATCTCCAAAAAATTAATAAAACTATTTTGATGCTAAAATTTTACACACAAATGTTGTATGTATCGAGTTCTGCTGTTTAGAGACCTATAGTGAAATTTGATGTAGAACATAGTCTTCTTTGACCACACCTCGCTAAAAATGAGATTTGGGGGAGTTTTTGGTATGAAGTCGGAAATGTACCAAAATAACCCAAAAAATTAATATAAGCATTTTTAATGTTACAATTTTAGCACAGATATAAACTATATATTGATTTCCCTTAAATGGGGACCCATAGTAAAATTAAGTGTAGAACATAGTCTTCTTTGACTACACCTCGCTAAACATGAGATTTGAGTGAGTTTTTGGTTTAAAGTCGGAAATGTACCAAAATAACTCAAAAAATAAATTTAGGAACTTTTAATGCTATAATTTTAGAACAGATATAATCTATATATTGATTTCCCTTAAATGGTTAAATTTGGTGTAGAATATAGTCTTCATTGACCACACCTCGCTTAAGTTGACACTTGGTGGAGATTTTGTTATAAAATCAAAAATATACCAAAATAACTCGAAAAAATAAATTTATGCATTTTAATTGCTACAATTTTAGCACAGCTATATACTATGTATTAATTTCCGTTGTTCTGGAACCCATAGTAGAATTTAGTGTAGAATATAAACTTCATTGAGAACAACCCGCTAAAATTGAGTATTAGGTGAGTTTTCGTATAAAACCCAAAATATGCCAAAATAACTCAAAAAGTGGATTTAGATAATTTTGATGCTAACATTTTTACAAACAAATATTGTATATACCGACTTCGAATGTTCGGGGACCTATAGTGAAATTTGGTGTAGAATACCGTTTTCATTGACCACACCTCGCTTAGGTTGAGATTTGGGAGAGATTTTGTTATAAAATCAAAAATAACTCGAAAAAATAAATTTATGCATTTTTAATGCTACAATTTTAGCACAGATATATAATATGTATCGTTTTCCCTTGTTCAGGGACCCTTAGTAAAATTTAGTGCAGAATTTAGTCTTCATTGAAATCTACCCGCTAAAATTGAGTATTAGGTGAGTTTTCGTATAAAACCAAAAATATGTCAAAATAACTCAAAGAATAGATTTATGTAATTTTGATGCTAACATCGTTACAAACAAATATTGTGTATGCCGACTTTGGATGTTCGGGGACCTATAGTGGAATTTAGTGTAGAATATAGTCTTCATTGATCACACCTCGCTTAAGTAGAGATTTGGGGGAGATTTTGTTATAAAATCAAAAATATACCAAAATAACTCGAAAAAATAAATTTATGAATTTTAAATGCTACAATTTTAGCACATATATATACTATGTATCAATTTCTGTTGTTCTGGAACCCATAGTAGAATTTAGTGTAGAAAATAGTATTCATTGAGAACAACCCGCTAAAATGGAGATTTAGGCGAGTTTTTGGTACAAAAACCAAAATTGACAAAAATAAGCGAATGAATGGCGATAAACATTTTGATGTGAACATTTCCCAGATTAATTTTCAACTTTTGATATTCATTGGGCCATAGTAAAATTATGTGTAGAATATATTCTCTAGTCAAAATATCTCACTAAAATGGAGAATTTTGGGAGTTTTTTTTGTTAAAAACCAAAGATATACGAAATTAGCTAAATTAATTGGCTATACATTTTTGATGCTAAAATTTTACCACAAATATATACTATATATCGCTTCCTCTTGTTCAGGTACCCCTAGTGAAATTTAATGTAGAATACAATCTTCATTGACAACAATACGCTAATATGTATAATTAGATGAGATTTGATATAAAAACAAAAACGTAACAAAAAAAAGCGAAGGAACAGTTGTAAGTATTTTGATACCATAAATTTCCTAATTAATTTTTAATATACCAACATTTGATATTCAGTGGGTATTGGTAAAATTAAGCGTATATTATATTCTCTATTGGAAACATGTCGCTAAAATGGGGAGTTCAATGAGATTTGGTATAAAAACCAAAATATACTAAAATATGCCAATTAATGGGTTAAGACATTTTAAATTCAAAAATGTTCAGAAAAATATTTGATATACTAGCATCTAATATTCAGTGGCCCATCTCGAAATTTAGTGTAGAATATATTCTCTATTGGGATCACTTCGCTACAATGGAGACTTAGACGAGTTTTTGGTAGAAACCTAAAGACATACCAAAATAAATGAAAAAACAGATGAAGTCATTTTGAAGTTGCCATTTCACACTGATTTCGTAATTTGACCAATATCTCTTATTCGGTGAACCATAATGAAATTTAGTGTAGAACATAGTACCCACTGACAACAACTTGGTAAAATTGAGAATTGAGGGAGTTTTTGACTAAAACCAAATTAATTCAAAAAATAACATAAAAAATGGATTTCGGCATTTTTGTTGTTAAAATTTGTCACTGATATATAATATATACCGATTTCTTCTGTTCGGAGGCCCACAATGAAATTTAGTATGAAATATAATTTCCCTTAATAACAACCCTCTAAAATGGAGAATTGGAGAGGTTTTTGGTATAAACTCAAATGTGAACAAAACTCAAAAAACTAATTGTCAAATCGGAGATGTATGTAGAATATAAGTGTTGTGGAATATATAATGTAGGTAAAATTAAAGGAAAATAACATAAATTAAAATAATTTTGGTGTTTTCTGTCTCTTTGTCAAAGGTATTTTGTAAATGGTTTCTCGACACACTTCAGGCCGTTTACAAACCACAGATACACAAAAGGCTTACAAACAGTTCATTGGTGTACCATCAAACTGCACAAAGCACTCACTCTCTGAAGAGAAAACCAGGCCATTGCATCGTTGTTAAACAGACACACTCACAAACATACAAAAAAACAAGAAAAACGATTAAAATTAGAGAAATATTAAATTTTGATACCTGACATAGAGCGAATGGTCTTTATAGCGTTGACGCAAGGGGTTATTCTTCAGGACCAACTCGATAATGGGCGCATTACGGAACACCAGTAATGTGGCCAAAGAGGGTATCTGAAAGATCAAAGAAAATTACCATTAATATAGCAATTTATTTTCTGGAAATATCTCTTATACTTACACTATTGCCACCCAAATAGAGTATCTTCAAATGCGGCAACCTAGTCTCAATATTTCGAAAACTTTCCATTGTACTCAAATCGTTGTCATTCAAATTTAGAGCCTGCAAATCGGGTATGTTCTTTTGTATAATATCCAAGGCAGCCGACATTACCGCCGTACGATGCAGGCCCACAAACGTTTGGCGAAAATCTGGATCGGCATGGAATTTGGATAGATCCAATGCTTTGGTATTCGGGTTATAACGTTTGGCCATAACTATTTTCATTTTCTCTTTGAATTCTTCATCGACCGGTACCATGGGACAACTCTCCCGCACCCGTATGGCCAGACGGCAGCCATCGGACATTTGTACGCTACGATCGAGTTGCATGAGACGTGAAGCCATGGCATAGTCGTCAACGAAAAAGACGACACAATTCTTTTCGGTACGCCAAAATAGTGGCAAGAAAACATCGGGAGTAAGGTTGTGGAGTAGGGCACGTATGAGATCATCTTTGGCATAGCGTTGACCGCAGTGGATCTGTAAGAAAGGCAGAAAAAAGAAAAAATGTGAGATATAGAATTTGAGATATTTTTGTAAATTAAAAATTCAATATTTAGAGGGTAAAAATTATAGATACAAATTTTTGGTGTTTGAAGGCTAAGGGTGAAATTTTGTGGGAAACACTTTTTCCATTGAAACTAACCCCCCAAAATCATGTTTTGGAGGAGATTTTGACGGAAATGTAAACATTTAGTAAATTGAGCCCAAAAATGAAGGAAGTCATATTCTAACCCACATATGTTCTTTAGAAATACTATATATACCGACCTCCGTTGTACGGTGACCTTGATCAAAGTCAAATTTTGTGTAGAGTATTTTTCCCCTCCGCATCATCCCGAAAAATGGAGAATTTTAATCCATTCGGGCCTCATTTCTGTAACCACACAAAAATAAAATAAAATATTTTGATTTTTATAGTAAAATTTTTTCCCGAAAGTATTATACATTCCGATTTCTGGTGTTTGAAGACTTATAGTGAAATTTGATGCGGAACACTTTTTCCATTGACACCAAGGCTCTAAAATTAAGTTTTGAGCAATTTTGAGAGCAATTCTGATGCTTATCAAATTGAGCTCAAAAATATAAGTTTCCATGTTGGTACTGATATTTTATTCAGAAATATTATATATACCGATTTTTGTCATTCGGTGACCTTAAGTCAAATTTAATGCAGAATATTTTTCCCTCCACACCATTCCGAAAAATGCAGAATTTTAGTCCATTTAGGCCTCATTTCTGTAGCCTAACAAAAAAAGATCAAATATTTTATATTTTGATTTTTATAGCTACATTTTTCCGAAAAGTATTATACATTCCGACTTCTGGTGTTTGTAGACTTATAGTGAAATTTTATGCAGAACACATTTTCCATTGACACCATCCCTCAAAAATTAAGTTTTGTGGAAGATTTTGAGTCTAATTCGGAATCTTATAAAATTGTGGAAGATTTTGAGTCTAATTCGGAATTTTATAAAATTGTGCTTAAAAATATAAGTTTCCATGTTGATACCGATATTTTATTCTGAAATATTATATATACCGAAGTTTGGTATTCGGTGGCCTGATGTGAAATTTAGTATAGAATATTTTTTCCCTTTACACCACCCTACAAATTTGGATAATTGAAGTCGATTTTGCCAAAAATTTTAAATTTCAATTTTGAATACAACATTTTTTTGAAATCAATTATATATACCGATTTCTGGTGTTTGAAGACTTATAGTGAAATTTTATGCGGAACACATTTTCCATTGACACCAAAGCTCTAAAATGAGGTTTTAAATGGAATTTCGGAAGAAAAGCATAATTAAACCAAACTCACCCAAAAAAGGAAAAAGTGATTTTAAAAGTTATTTTTTGTACTGAAATATTATATATACCGATTTCTGTTGCTTGGAGACTTATAGTGAAATTTTATGCGGAACACAATTTCCATTCACGCCAAAGCCCTAAAATGAGGTTTTAAAGGGATTTTTAGAAGAAGCATAATCAAACCAAACTCAGCAAAAAAGGAAAAAAGTGATTTTAAAACAGGTATTTTTTGTATTGAAATATTATATATACCGATTTCTGTTGCTTGGAGATTTATAGTAAAATTTTATACGGAACACAATTTCCATTGACACCAAGGCCCTAAAATGAGGTTTTAAAGAGATTTTTGGTAGAAATGCATAAACTTCCAAAATTGACCCAAAAATTAAAAAATATTGATTTTGAATCAGTTATTTTGTATTGGAATATTATATATACGGATTTCTGCTGCTTAGAGACTTATAGCGAAATTTTATGCGGAACACATTTTCCATTGACACCAAGGCCCTAAAACGTAGTTTTAAACAGATTTTTGGCAGAAATGCATAAACATCCAAAATTCACCCAAAAATGAAAATATTGATTTTGAATCAGTTATTTTGTATTGAAATATTATATATACCGATTTCTGTTGCTTGGAGATTTATAGCGAAATTTTATGAGGAACACAATTTCCATTCACATCAAAGCTCTAAAATGAAGTTTTAAAGAGATTTTTGGTAGAAATGCATAAACTTCCAAAATTGACCCAAAAATGAAAATATTGATTTTGAATCAGTGTTTTTGTATTGGAATATTATATATACCGATTTCTGTTGCTTGGAGACTTATAGTGAAATTTTATGCGGAACACTTTTCCCATTGACACCAAGGCTCTAATATGAGTTTTTAAAGGGATTTTTGGAAGTAAAGCATAAGCATGCTGTATTGACCCAAAATGGAAATAATTATTTTAAAACAGTTATTTTTTGTAGTGAAATATATTATATACAGATTTCTGTTACTTGGAGACTCATAGTGAAATTTTATGCGGAACACTTTTTGTATTTACCCCAAGGCTCTAAAATTAGAGATAGAGGGGATGTTTAAGAGAATTACATAAGCATACCAACTTGACCCCAAAATGTAAATATTTATTTTAAATCAGTTATTTTGTATTGAAATATTATATATACCGATTTCTGTTGCTTGGAGACTTATAGTGAAATTTTATGCGAAACACAATTTCCATTCACACCAAGGCCCTTAAATGAGGTTTTAAAGGGATTTTTGGAAGTAAAGCATAATCATACCGCATTGACCCAAAAATGGAAACAATTATTTTAAAACAGTTATTTTTTGTGTTGAAATATTACATATACCGATTTCTGTTGCTTGGAGACTTATGGTGAAATTTTATGCGGAACACATTTTCCATTGAAACCAAGGCTCTAAAATGAGGTTTTAAAGGGTTTTTTGGAAGTAAAGCATAAGCATACCGTATTGACCCAAAAATTTAAAAAGTGATTTTGAAACAGTTATTTTGTATTGAAATATTATATATACCGATTTCTGTTGCTTGGAGACCCATAGTGAAATTTTATGCAGAACACTTTTCCCATTGACACCAAGGCTCTAAAATGAGGTTTTAAAGAGATTTTTGGTAGAAATTCATAAACATACCAAATTGACCCAAAAATGTAAATATTGATTTTGAGATAGTTATTTTGAATTGAAAGATAATATATTCCGATTTCTTTTTTCTGTTCTGCCCATAGTAAAATTTGTCGAAGACTATTTTCTTCTTCAATTGCGGATTTTTATGGCTGCCGTAAAAGACCCTCATAACGAGCCAGTATACTTAGTAATACTGAATGTTATTTTAACAAAGGCTACTAATGAATGTTGAGTCAGTCAACACCACCATCGATACTGAAAGAGCTATTTCTGGGTTTGGTTATTATACACCGAGAGATAACTAACCAATCACACTAAACAACAGTGAGTTTTGAATATTTATTTATTATTTAATTAAAATTAAATTATAATCTAAATATACACATGTGAATTTGTGTTGGAAATCAAATAGAATATTGAAATTCATACAATTTTTTTTTAAATATATTTTTGGGCATTTCTTTTTGTGGTCTAGTGTAAAAATAAGCCATGCCATAATCAGACCGGCCACTATCAGCCGATAAATATATCAAATATGGTAGTATTAAAATCGCCATAGAACTGATCAAAAGTGATTTCAATTAGATTGATATTTACAATAATGAATTTAAAATGCCGTTTTTGTTGTTGTTGCTGTTGCCGAAAAGCGCAAGACACACAGTCGGTAAAATCATGGACAGCCGGTAGGGTCAATGAGAATTTTCAAAAAGAAGACACCGTTGTAACAGTGCGTAGTTTGATAAATAAATTTTCAAATCAATTTTACAAATAAATCAAAAAATTTTTTAGGCTCCGCCAAAAGTGACAATTACAGCAAGTGATCCCAAACAAATAGACCCTGTTGCTGAAAATTCCCCCAGTTCGAAAAACCACTCCATGGCAAGTGATGGCGATGATGGTGCCTCCGTATCAAAAATTGATTTAAATTTGAATATCTTTGAAAATGAACGTTTCGGTGATATGGCAGCCATAATTTATAAAAGTCAAATGAGTTTAGATAAGATATAATTAAATTATTTTAATAAACAAATGAAACTATTTTAAGAAGATGATGTTTTATATCGCAAATAAAAGAAGAAAAGATAAAGAATTTTTTTTTAAATATTTTTTTATAATATTATATATACCGATTCCGGTTGTTCTGGGACCTAAAGTCAAATTTTGTACAGAATTTTTTTCCCTTCTACACTACCCTGAAAAAATGTAGAACTGTTGAAGATTTTGACCCATTTCGGTTGTATTGCAAAAAAAAAATAGTCAACAATTTTATATCATCAATTTGATACCATTATTTTCTTGGAATCTATTATATATACCGATTTATGTTGTATGGAGGCTTATAAAGAAATTTTATGCGGAACACAATTTCCATTGGCACCATCCCTCTAAAATAAAGTTTTGGGGAAGATTTTGACACCATTTCGAAAACTTATCAATTTGAGACCAAAAATATAAGTTTATATGTGAGTACCGCTATTTTATTCAAAAATATTATATATACCGTCTTATGGTGCTCGGTGGCCTTAACTGAAATTTAGTGTAGAATATTTTTCTTCTTTACACCATCCCGAAGAATTGGAGAATTTAAGTCGATTTTGCCTCTATTTCTGTAACCTAACAAAAAATTTAACAAAAATGTTATATTTCAATTTTGATTACAAAATTTTCTTGAAAACAATTATATATACCGATTTCTGTTGTTTGGAGTGGTATAGTGAAATTTTGTGCGGAACACAATTTCCATTGACACCTAGGCTCTAAAAGGAGGTTTTAAAGTGATTTTTGGGTGAAAAGTATAAACATACCAAATTGAGCCAAAACTGGAAATAGTGATTTTAAAACCGTTATTTTTGTATTGAAATATTATATATACCGATTTATGTTGTATGAAGGCTTATAGTGACATTTTATGCCGAACACAATTTCCATTAACACCAAACCTCTAAAATGTTTTGAGGGAGATTTTGACACCAGTTCAAAAACTTATCGATTTGAGCCTAAAAATGTAAGTTTCTATGTTAGTACCGCTATTTTATTCAAAAATATTATATATACCGACTTATTGTGCGCGGTGACCTTAAGTCAAATTTAGTGTAGAGTATTTTTCCCTTTGACACCATCCCGAAAAATTGGAGAATTTAAGTCGATTTTGCCTCTATTTCTGTAACCAAACAAAAAATATACCAGAAAATTTACATTTCAATTTTGATTACAATATTGTCTTGAAAACAATTATATATACCGATTTCGGTTGTTCCGAGACTTATATTGAAATTTTATGCGGAACACAATTTCCCTTGACACCAATGCCCTAAACTTAGGTCTTAAAGAGATATTTGGGTGAGAAGTATAAACATACAAAATTAACCCTAAACTGCTAATAGTGATTTTAAAACCGTTATTTTTGTATTAAAATATTATACATTCCGATTTATGTTGTATGGAGGCTTATAGTGAAATTTTATGCGGAACATAATTTCCATTGACACCATCCCTCTAAAATAATGTTTTGAGGGAGATTTTGACACCAATTCGAAAACTTATCAATTTGAGCCCAAAAATATGTTTCTTTTTTAGTACTGCTATTTTATTCACAAATATTATATATACCGACTTATCGTGCGTGGTGCCCTTAAGTCAAATTTAGTGTAGAGTATTTTTCCCTTTGACACCATCCCTCTAAAATAATGTTTTGAGGGAGATTTTGACACCAATTTGGTAGTATATCAAAAAGAACCCGATAATATAGGTTTTCATGTTAATAGTGATATTTTTACTCAAAAATATTATATATGCCGATTTCTGTTGTTCGATGACCTTAAGTCTAACTTAGTGTACTTTTTTTTAGAAAAAAAAAAATCAATAATATTTATTTTTTCCCACTGATGTCACACAAGAAACCCCAATTCAATCAATGGTATTTCAGATAATACCCACAATTCATAAAAGATTTGATTTGAAATTTCACACGGGCCATGCAGCAATCATTCATGTCAATTCAGTGAGAACATACTGATAAGATTCAAAATTAGTTGGAAATCATTTTAAAGAAACTTAAAGTCAACCGAATATCAAGGAAGGGAGATTTGAAAGGGTACAAAAAATTCCGGGGCCTGTGGAAAATTTTTGATCCTGATTTTTGATTTAAAATTCTACAAGAACAACAATGTGATCCCAGATGAATATTTAAGAAGGCTCCCCCCAGGGAGCCATGAAATTATGCCCTTGCATTTATTTTGAGTTTAAAAATAATTTCAAATTCCCTGATAACGGCTCGTGCGTTTCCAAAAGAAGGTTGTAAAATTATAAAAAAGAGAAAACGCGCAAAAATCCTTTTGTTCGTGTAATCGCAATAAACCAACTGTTGATGACCTCCAATTTATTAATAGGAGAGAACAACACTGACAAAGTGCCCACAATAAATGAATGAATAAAAGCTCTGACACACACACACACACAGTCACTTGTGAGCAATTAAGATAGGAATGTTGGTTGGGTTGGGCGTTCGGTGTCATCGGCCATAACCTATAAATAATTGAGTTTGATGTGGAATTTTGACAAATATTGAAAAAAAAAAACAAATAAACAAACAAACCAACACCTTGTCTGTTTATGTCGCACATGCCATGGAGAGTAAGTCAGTCATCTATGGAGCAAGGTAGATTCTCTTTTTTTTTTTGCAAATCCATATATGGAGATACAGTTGTCAAATTCCTGACTAGTTTTCCAGCAATTTTTTGGATAATTTACGCGATGAATATCTTCCTTAGTAAAATTCAGGAAAAATATATAAAATTCCTCAAACACTTAAAGGATTTTAATCCGTAGGTTCCATGCCGCACATGCCATGGAGAGTAAGTCAGTCATCTATGCAGATCTATGTAAATTCTCTATGTATTGAAAATCGAAATATGGAAATAGAGTTGTCGAATTCCTGACTAATTTTCCTGCAATTTTTTGGATAAGAACGACCAGGGAGAAAATTTTCGAGATGAATATCTTCTGTAGAAGAATTCAGAAAAAATATATAAAATTCCTCAAACACTTCAAGGAAATTTAATCCGTAGGTTCCATAAAAAAATCTACTTGAAAAATTGCAGAATATTAATTTGGACGTGGAGAGAATTTCTTATAAAAAAAATAACAGGAATTTCATTCGACAATCCTTTAAAAGATTTAGAAAATTTTGACTTGAAGATTCCTCAAAAAATTATATAAAAAATTTAACATTTTTATCTGAAGATTTCTTCGAGGAATCTCTTTTTCAATGATTTCCGAAGGTCTGAAGGACTCTCAGAAAATCATAAAAAAAATCCACGGAAAATGGAAAATCTTTAAAGAATGCTGTTGAAGATCCCTAAAAAAATTCTTATATCGTCTCTAGGAATTTAAACTAAAGTCCTTCGCAAAATTGCCTATATAATTCAATCATTTTGATCGGAAGACTCTTAAATATACTCTTCAAAAAAAAAAAATATATATTAAGCATCTGAAAGGTCCTTAAAAATCACTAAATTAGTTGACGGCTCATAGTCGCTCATTGGGACTTCAAAAAAAAAAAAAAAAAAAAAAAATCGAAAAAAAATATCAAGAATCTGAAAGGTCCTTAAAAATCACTAATTTAGTTGACGGTTTAAAGTCCCTCATTGGTCTGAAGGTCCTCAAAAAGTTACTTAAAAGGCCAACATTTTTATCTGACGGCTCCTTCAAGGCCTCTTTTTTAATGATTAATGGTCCGAAGGTCTTAGAAAATCATAAAAAACGAATCAACCTTTGGATCTTTTCAAGAAATTTAATCTAAAGTAAAAACAAGTAAAAAAGCTGTTAGTTCGGCCGGGCCGAACTTTTAATACCCTCCACCATTTGGTACTAATTTGGCAATTTCTAAAAAAAAAAAAAATAAAATAAATAAATAAATAAAATAAAAAAATCCTTTAAAATTCTGTTAAAATCTTAAAAATACCGAATGTCTATACGACGACGTATACCTGCATAGGCAACTTTTGTCATAAGTTATTACAACATTTAAATGCGAAACTTGAAGAAAAATTTGTTTATAATGTAGCTAAAATCATAAAAATACCGAATATAGGGGGTACCGTTATATGGGGGCTATACGAAGACGTGGACCTGCACAGACAATTTTCTGGCATGGGCTGAAGTATCCATTACGAACTTCAAATGCGAAATTTAAAACAATCCCGGTAAATAATGTCGCTAAAATCATCAAAATACTGAATATCGGTGGGTACGGTATATGGGGCCTATACGAAGACGTGGACCTACATGGTCCATTTTCTGTTTTCTGCTGCAGTATCTATTACGAACTTCAAATACCAAATTTGGAACGGTTCCGTTAAATAATGTCGCTAAAATCATCAAAATACCGAATATCGGGGGAGGTACGGTATGTGGGGGCTATAGGAAGACGTGGACCTACATGGCTCATTTTTTGACTTAGGATGTAGTATCCATTACGAACTTCAAATACCAAATTTGGAACGGTTCCGTTAAATAATGTCGCTAAAATCATCAAAATACCGAATATCGAGAGTTACCGTTATATGGGGGCTATATGAAAACTTGGACCTACATAACCCATTTACGAACTTAACCTGCCTACTGGCAAAATATACATGTGTGCAAAATTTTAGCCTTCTATCTCAATTTGTTCGAAAGATAGCGTGATTACAACAGACAGACAGACACACAGACAGACAGACGGACATGGCTAAATCGTCTTAGAATTTTACGCTGATCAAGAATATATATACTTTGTTGGGTCTGACGTGAGTATTTCGAGGAGTTACAAACGGAATGACAAAATTAATATACCCTCCATAGTATGGTGGAGGGTATAAAAATCATAAAAATGGACGGAAAATGATCTGAACTCTCCCAATATTTTCCTAAAAAACGGTGGTGATTGCTGTTATTGGTCCCTCCAAATCATAAGAAATTTTTGGGATAGATATAAAAACAACAATAAAGGGATAAAGCCAGACCATTTTGCAACAACAAAATACTACGGTATCCCGAACAAACAAGCCACACTGTTCTATTAATAGACAAGGCACGGTCGACGAAGGG